GGTGGCCCCGACTCAACACAGACCAGAACATAAACATAAGTGGCTGGTAAGGGCAGCCACAATACCCTTAGCGTTTAAGGCAGAAGTGTTGCTACCAGGACAGCACAGCCCACCTGACGTGAACAAACCTGACAGCAGCCTTAACTCATTTGACTGTTAGGTGTTTGATAAATAATTTGGTGTCCCCCAGGAGGGCGGGGCATTTCTGTATTTGGTTGGATTGGAGCAGTTCACTGAGTGAACTTGTTCTGATTAATGTTTGTACCCAGGCTTAATGTTTTGTTTGTTTTGTTTTTCTTTTGAAACTTTGATCTGGACCTGCAGACAAGATGGCGGACTGCGAACAGGATTTACACAGTGGCCTGAAAGTGGCCATTTTTTCCGGAAGTTCGTTACAGTAACCGTGTCGAGGATTTATTTTTGGTGATCACCACTCAAGTGTAAATGGAATTAATTTATATATGCCTAAGAAGTTGTGTGTGAAATTTCATCCAAATACACGAAAATTTACTTATCTACTTTCCATACCAAATTTACGTTGATGAAAAAGCGCGATGACTAAAGTCGCCCTTGAACGTTTTTTTTCCTTTACTTTATTAAGGCACGTGACAGTAGTTATACATAAGTAAATAGGCCGGAAACAAGAGGACTATAACATAAAATAAAGAACATAAGAACAAGAACAACATCGAAGCAGACAATGTGAACATGAAACTTTAGGCCAGGGGGTGACTTAATGGGTTAAGTTAAGTGAAAACATTCAGGGAAGTGACTTAATGGGTTAAGTTAAGTGAAAACATTCAGGGAAGTACATATATTACACATTTTGATAGCTTTTTTATTTTCGCTCTTCAGGATGGAGGAAAAATAATTTTTAATTTCGCATAACAGGGCAGGGAAGAAGGGTTTAGATTTAGAGAATTTGCATTTGTGAATATAAAACTTTGCCATGAGTAGAATAAAGTTAATTAAATGTAGTTTGTCACTTTCCTTTCTATTATGGTTATACAGACCAAATAAAACATGTTCCCATTTCACAGCAAGGGGATAATGAATTTTGGAGGTGATGAATACAGAGACATTCTGCAATAAATCATAACAAAATGGACAATCCCAAAATAAATGAACAGTAGTTTCTTCCGAGGCATTACAGAAAACACACGATGTATTAATAGACATATTAAATCTTGTAAGATAATGAGCAGATGGGTAAAATCTGTGAATTAACTTAAAGGAGACCTCTCTTATTTTATTACTGATCATATATTTAAAAGGCAATAACCAAACTTTATCCCAACAAATGTCCGGAACCAAAATATTCCAGTATGATATAATATATGGCATAGACACTACATCCTGTTGAAAAATAGTCCGAATAGCTCGATTGTTCTTCTTTCTTATAGTGGTGAAACATGTTTTCCCTATGAACGTGTCGGCTGGATCCAAACGAAAAGAGGAGTCATCCGTATCATTGTCCAGGTTCTTGAAGAGCATCAGCAGTCCAGAGGGAATCGCTCCAATAGTCAATGAGTATTCCTTTAGTGTAGGACTAAAGTTAAATCGATTTTTCAGTTCTTCAAATGTCAAAGGAACACCCTGGTCATTTAAAAGCTGTTTCACCAACAGGATATTATTTTCAAACCAATTATAAAGAAATAGAGATTTATTCTTATGAGTTATATATTGGTTGTTCCAGATGTAACATTCGTGTGGGGGAAAGTTGTGTTTATAGGCTAGAGTCCATGACAATAGCATTTGTTTGTGAAAATTGGAAAGTACTACTGGGATTTTATTAACATTGTATTGACAGAGCAAGGTAAATTTTAAGCCACCAATTTTAGAGAAAACACATTGAGGGAATATATACCAAATAGATAAAGGAGATTTCAAATATGATTTCAGCCAATTGATTTTAAAGGTGTTGTTTAGGGTGGTAAAATCTAATAAGGGACAACGCTTTTTTCCCCCCTCTGTAAAATGCAGGCCCTTATTGTGAAGGGCGGAAGTACGGTAACGAACGTGCGTTTATCATTAATTGGCTGAGACAAGAACAAGCTAATAAACCATGGATATATTAAGAAAATACAGTAAAACACTGTCAAAACCGTGGGTGCCTGACCTTTACAGCAAAAAGATGAGAGGTCCGTAAAGGGACGAAACCACTGGTGTTAGCTCTTTTGTCATCTCTACTTAAAATGATTCTAAAATAAATCACGAAAATGATATATGGCTAGAAAAGTAAGAAGTTACACTTAAATTGTATACCGTTACAATAAGTGAAAACGTCACATGATCATCTATATTTGTAGTTAAAATCTGTAACAGAATGTTGGCTAAAATGTGTCCGTGAGAGGACAGTTAAGTTAAATGTAAACCCTAATCTTAACACATAACCCCTGTGGCCGTTCTGATCCACACTCCAGTCTAGAAGGTGGCGGTAATGCACCTAAAGCCGTTTGTCAACTGCCATTAAACAACAAAAGAAGAAGAAGAAGAAGAACCATAACTCCGTCACTACCTGATATCTAGCCTCTTACCCGATTTGTTCTATCCATGGGCAAAGAAATAATTTACAGAAGTGTCACATCGCCTCAGCGCAAATACCTTCAAGCCATGAAATCCAGTCATTATTATTTATAAATAAAAATTTAACTTGTTTTTTTACAGCCTGTTCAGTGCCTGCAAACAGAATCGCTGTTTCTGACTGATATTAACATTTATTAATTTATTTACTCACAAATAGCCACTAACATTCAGACAGGTCATTATGAAACTGGTAAAAGTGAAGAAAAGCTATTTCAGTTCAGATTCAGTGCAAAATAAAGAAAAAACAAACATTTAATTGATTTATTTACTTTAAAAAAAGTGACCACAGTTATAGATGGGCAATAAATAAAAGGAAAAGCCTGAATAAATGAGTAGAAATACAAAATACAGGGGTCACTGATTACTCTGATTATTTAACTTTTTATTCACATAATGTCAAAAATAGGGAAAAATGCCTACTTTGACTTTCCAGAGTCAAAGCTGTTGTCTTTAAATGTCTTGTCTTGTCCACCCAACAAATCCAAAGATACTCATTTTATTCTCATGCTTGACAAAGAAAAGCATCAGTTCCTCACATTAAAGAAGGTCAGATCAGAAAATGTTGGTAATTTTTGTTTCAAAATAGTTGCATGTTAATTTTGCAGCTCTATGTCGCTGAATGGCTTAATTAAAATGAAAATGTGCATTGGACACAATGACGGAAGATGTTTTGAAAGAAGGATGTGCTCCAAAAGAGCTGGAGACACTTTAAGGGCTATTTATGACTTAAGCATCCTCATGTCCACACAAACAGTCTGTACAGTCAAAGCCCTAACTGTTCATGTACCGCAGTGTTTGGAAACCATTGGCGTATGTGGACAGAAGGCAGACCCTCGATCTGAAGTATTGAGTTATTATGTATGCAAAGTATGTCTAACCCTTTATTGAAAAGCCTTAGTCACAGTTTTCCTTTCATTTGTCACCCATCTATAAATTTCATCAATGAAATTAGATTTATATACAGTAGTTATGTTTCTATCTAGAAAATGTGTGAACGTAGCCACTCAGATTTGTGCTATCTGCCCAGTTCTGCAACAGTTTTAGAGTCAACCAATTTTTAATTTACACAATATAAATATATAGAGTTAAATCTGCAGACACCTAACAGATAAAGTAATTTCCTCTGGTGTTGGATGAATTCAACAGTAAAACAGATCTGATTATTCCTCCAATCTCCCAGGTAGTGCTTATATTAACAAGGATTCTGGGTAATATAGTGCAGTCACTGTTAAATTTACCATTTTACTGTTCAAGTTCCACCGAAATCAGACTGAGAAGTAAATAATGACTTCAGTCAGTTTGTGAACTAGACCAGGTCAGGATCAGAAACCTGAGACAGTGTGGGATATCCAGCAGGAGATGATGAAGACTCTGCACAGGTTTCTTCATCCTTTGATGATGAGAGAGGAGATTTGCTGCGGCATCGTGTAGAGGATGAGGACGAGAAAGATTGTTAGGATGGCGAGGATGACAAAGGCAATGATGAACTTCTTGTACTTCTTCCAGATGAGGAAGACAAAGGTCTTCATTGGGTTGACAAACCAGGAGAAGCTGGTCGTAGGACGACTGGAGGGATGACAAAAGACAGTTAACACCTGAGCTGCGACTACAGGAGGCTCAAGTCTGGTCATGCCATTCTACTAATATGAAATGATAAAATTTGTTGTGTTCAACTTGGTGAACAGCAACAATTTGCACTGTTGAGTATCAGCAAGGTCTTTTGAGAGTGCTAAGTTCAGAGTTGTCAAACTTGTAATCACTGTTGACCACTGCATGAAATTTGTTAGCAAACTTGTGTTCTATTTTGCGCTGGCTGCGCCTATACTCACTGAATCTCAGGTTACAGCACATAACCAACTTTTCTGAATTTCCCAAACTGTATAATAACGTATGATCCTCATATCAAGATCAGATAAAGACACACAACCTATTTAAATAGCAAAACATCCCCATGCAAGTGCTGCTACCAAGACTGTTTTAAAAAACAGCTAGAGCCTGTAAAAACGTAGTGATCTAGTTCTAGCAACTTTAGCACTGTAGGTAAGAGAGCGCAGTTTTGTACAGCACCCCACAGGAGTTTCTACTTGATTTTCTGCACTGACCAATGTGGAACACACAGTGTTGTAATGTGAATACGCTTTAAATCTGTGTCTGTGTGTGTTATACTTTGGTTTGTCGAGAGGCTCTGGCTCCTTGCGCGCCCGGCCCACAGGGTTGGCCTCCGCCTGCTCCAGTGTCACCAGCTGAAGCTCGGCCTCCACCTTCCCCTTCACATATGCATACAGTTTCAGAGTTATCACAAGTATTCAAAGTGGAATTTAAATTAAAACTTATGTTTACCAGTCAATTCTTCTGTAGAACTACTTATTCAAATAGCAACTAGCATGAACAAATAAAGGCTGCATTAAAAATACTGATTTATAGTAGAATTACCTGTCTGGTAATTACTTACATGGTAAATCACTGTAAAGCTAAAGTCAATTAAATTCAGCACTTCCTGTACAGAGGCTTCACATTAAAACCCTAGTGGGAAAGGGGGCATTTATGCTGTTTCAGCTGCCAGAAGGACTTTTTATAATATGCAATTTTACAATTTTGAAATACAGCAAGGACACAATAAATCTGAATGTCAGGAGCTGTGACACTGTTTACACAAAAAGGTTTGTATACTTTTTGTAAAACTGTTACCTGCCTCATATCATCTGGTTTAAAAAAATGTGAGTGTTTGAAAAATATTATCTCACTACCTTTATGATAGTAAAATTATATTTATAATAATTATTTTTCCAATTAGATGATATCAATAGGTAAAGCTGTTTTCACACAAAATTACATTTTCTATGGCATAATAATTTTTTATATCGTAAGAAAAATGTGGAAAATTCAGATTTAGATTAGATTTGGTACTGTGTTTTCTGTACCATTAGCAGATGAGTGTTTCCGGTGCTGTCAGTGTACTGGATTTCCTCCGGCTTCAGCTTGCTCCTCTTGCTCTTGTCCTTCTTCTTCTTCTTCTTGCTTCCCTTCTTCTTGGCTTCCTCCTTCTCCTTCTCCTCCCTCTCAAAGTCCTCGGCTGTTTTCAGGCGGGTCATTGGCCACCAGCCCTTCATCTTCTTGGCGCGAAAGATAGAGAATCGAGGGCCGGCCCGATCCTTCGCCATGTCAATAGAACACTTGTTGGCTGATTTGGCAGCTCGTACCATGTCACTGAGACGCAGCTCTATGGCACCTGTGGTAGAAGGAAGAAAAGACAGATGATGAAGACAAGGAAGAAGATGTCAGCATTATTGATATTTGCTCTGTAATGTACTGAGGCTATGCTCTGGTTTTGGTGATGCCCTTTTATTTCTTGAATATTGAACAAAAAAGTTAAATAAAAAAAACTTAAGGCCACTCTGAAGAGTTCAAATTAAAGAGTCATTTCACTCAAATTATAAAAAACACAGATTTGGGTTTATTATTGCTGTTCAATGTTGGAAACATGAAACTTAAAACAGCAGGGATGGGAAAGATGCTTTTTCAGTGCTTTTAATTTGAGAAAAAATTAGGAAGTTTTGGTGTATTGACATCAAGATCAATAAAAACAGGAAATCAGAAGTGATTGGAATTGATAAGTGAATGAAATCTGTGTTTTTGTGTGTGGTGGACATCAGCACAACATTAGGGTCTGGGATCACGGGCAATTTAATGCACAGTATGTCCTGGACTGAAGTCCAAAAGAGCCCCGCTAAAGGCCTCTGAATGCCAAAAATAATAATTATAACAACAATAATAACCATTAGGTGGGTATAATATCATTAACCATGTGTACTGACTGAGCGGTCAGTTTGTTGTAAGGTGTTTGTGAAAAAAGGTAAACAACCAGGGCAAACCTCATAAAGAAAAAGAGAAATAAGACCAAGAGTAACTTTAAAAATACACCAAAGTTAGCTGGATTTTTCAAAAAGGCTCAAAACAGCAAAACACCAGGTATGAGTCCTGTGTTACTCCACAACTCTGTGGCAGGTAGTGCTAATGTTAGAAATCAGCAAGCAAATACTGACACCACCAGGGCCGGACAATTACCTCTGTCTGGGTTACAGGTTACACTAACAAAAGGAGTGATGAAAACAAAGGGTTAGAACGGGAGGAAGTAGGAAGCAGTTCCCAGGTGATACTTCATTATTAACAGGTAGAGATGTTTTACAGTAGGTTTCAAAATATTTGATTAGTATTGGTGGGATTAATTAAAAAAACAAACTGTGCTTATTGTCACGTCTCTTTGCGTTAAAATGTGTATTCTTCATCAATAGCCCCTGTCTCTGTCTCACCCAGGAAGTCATTGGCGCCGATGCGATCGTAGTCCCAGATCTGCAGCGCCAGAACAGCCGGCTGTCGAAATTCTGATTCATCCAGAGAGAAGATGGACTCCTTCTTCTTATACACCACCTCTTTCTACAGAAGAAGAGAGATTTACTGTATCCACAACTAACAACATACTGACAGTGTAAAGTCCTGTAATGTCCATTACAGCCACAACAAACAATCTAAAAATGTTCTGTCCTGAGGAAGTGACCTGAGGAACAGTCATGGGGTCATGGACATCTAAAGGGTTTATCCTCTGACTAACACAAATGGGATCAGGACATTTTGATTAAATTGTAATTCTGAGAGATCCTACTTTCTGAAGAGAACTGGTCAGCAATCTTATGCTTTCCTTATCAATTTTATTTGCCTTTTTACCAGAAAGCTCATTCAAAGCTGTTAATGCCACACTCTCTCCACCCAAACTACTGCCTAACACATATTAAGGAAAGCTACGAGAGGTCATGAGATCACTAAAATCTATAAGAATCATCCTCTATTGACCAGTGGAAATGCTGACCAGGTTCAGGTGTCACCAAAGGGTATGTGTGGGTGTACCTCAGTAGGAAGGTAGTCAAAGCGGAACACAAATCTCCAGTTGAAGTTTCCTTCTCCAGTCAGAGAGTTGAAGTGGACATCAGTCTCCTGTTTGTCTCCCTCCAGTCCCTTGATCCAGCTGCACAGACAGCACAACACTGAGCATAACTGGCTGTTTAAATGTAAAATCAGACTATTTTTGAACAAAACCTCTGTGAGCAAGTGTGCTAGCTCACACACCTTCAAATTCAAATTTAAATGTTTTTGTATAGCAACAAATCACAACAAAAATCATCTCAGGACACTTTACAAAGTAAGGTCTAGACCTTACTATTCTTATTATTATAAAGGAAAACCCAGCAAATCCCCCTTGAGCATGCACTTGGTGACAGTGGAGAGGAAAACTCCCTTTAACGGAAGAATCCTCCGGCAAACAGTTAAAGTAACAAAGTAACACCCTGTTACTGCTATTTGCTGTAGTATACGCTAGTTAGCTGGATAATTGCAGGAAGTTAGAGCAAAGAGACACACTGTTTAATCCACTACCTACACAACCCTCCCAATTTGTACATAACATTGTGCAGTAGGCTCTTCTTTCTTTCTTCTTCTTTCCTCATTTGTATCTTGTTAATCATCTTACAACTGTTCAGATGTAGCTTGTGACCAATGGGAGGGTCCTGACAACCAGAATTGAAATGTGATTAAAGTGTGTGTGTTTGTGTGTGTGTGTGTGTGTGTGTCTAACCCTTTAACGTAGATGTCAGATGATGGTTCGCCTGTGAACGGGTTGACATCATCCAGAAACACATCATCCGTGTTCCAGATGATCACACGCAGCTCATACCTGCCGCCATGGAAACAACAGCAAATGTTAAATGTCCTTCTATTCTATTCTACTTTATTCTACTTTACTAACTGTGTGTTGACCTACTGTTCAGGTAGGCGAGGCTTTATGTCAACAGGGGGTGGAGCAGGGACATCAGTAGGAAATATGTCCACCCACATATGAAGGTAACCCTGCAACACACACACACATACATGCACACTGCTGATGACATTTAGTAATACCAGCAGCAGTGTGTTTTTGTTACTGCTGTTGTGACTTTTTGTGTTGTAAATATTGTGGTTACCTGTGGCATTCCAGGTTTGTCAGTATTCATCAGGGACCGGATCTCCACGTGCTCAGGGACCTGAGGGAGGGCTCCAGGGAGGAACTCCTTCATCTCCCCCCAGCGGTGCAGCACGCTCAGGGCTACATGCTGCTCCATCTCTTCCTCCTCCTCTGGGGTTCGTTGGTTCTTCTTCAACAGAGCTGATGACAACAACACTGCTGTTAAATGCTGATAGTCTTTTTAGAGCTGGTGCAACTGGTAGAGCTAGCGGGTACTGCAGGGTGAGGGGAGCGACAGTAGTACTATTATATCAGTGGCAGTAAAAGCAGTATAGTTAAGTAGTGATTGTGGTTTATCAGTGGAGCAAGCAGCAGTAATGGTACATGATACTGTCTGTATGCGTCTACAGGTGCAATCTCCTAATTGACTACCTGTATGTGGCTAGGTTCTACCTGTCTCTCTACCTGCTGCCTACTGTTCGGTCTGTCCTACCTTCAGGTACTGCATCAGGTGGGATCTTGAAGATCTTGTTGAGGACTTTGACCTGAGATGTTCGGTACTCTGGAGACGATATGCCGTTCTTCCTGCAGAGCTCTGCCAAGATAGTCGATGGCTTCTTTGAATCACGCCACTTATTGTAACCGTCACTGGCCAAAGAGAGAAACAGATGGAGAGACAGACATTTACATGTTGTAGTGTTAATGAACGTTTTGATGTTCTAGTGGTGGTAGTAATGTGTCATAGTCCTGAGACTAGTGTAGGTTGTGATACTAACGTGTCGTAGTAAAGACCCAGACCACAACAGGCTCCGTGGCGGCTATAGAACCGGTTCTCCAGGTCAATGCGCGTGTCACCAATAACATCATCAGCACCCACAAAATCGTGGTCCAGCACTGTGATAACCAGCTCTGTTTCCAGTGGGAAGGACACCGTGAAATCAAACACCCTGAAAAACAGAGTCAAACATACAGACAATCATACAGAGTCTCATACAGTTAGACCATCACAGATGGTTGGACAGGCACAGGTAGTACAGAAAATGTACTGACTCTCCAAATACAGGGTTAAGCTGTTTGGGGATGTATCGGTCTTTGGTGTCTAGACTCTGCTCTCCAACTCGTAACACCAGGTAAGGGTCGGCTTTACCATTTGGGTCTGTGGGAGCCAGACTGGTGGCCTGCAGGACACAAACAGATTCACTGCAGAATACAAACACTTTACCAATGGGGTTTAAACAATTATAAACCAAACATTCTGCAGCTATAAGCAGGGACATTGTCAAAGGGAGAACATGAGTTTGGTGATTTCTTGCACAAAAAAAGGTTGTAGCTGCCAACACTCATATTTCGGATGCCTGAAAATCCCTAAATGTCTTGAATGCAACAACAGTGAAAAGTCAGTTTAATTAAAGAAGATTTAAAAAAATATTGGACTGCTAAAGTAAATAAGACAAAGTCAGGATGGACATTAACAGGGAAACGCACCTTGACGATGTAGACTCTGACTAAGATTTTGATTGGTGAGTTTTTGGGGATTCCCTCTGTGATCTGACAGTTGGTGTCTTCTTCGTCTCCTGGATCAAGTGGATAAACTAGGAAAGAGCCCTGAGGACAGAGTATAGAATAATGAACATAGTAACAGACAGCCAGACAGATAATACAGTTCTTGATCTATGGTACCTTGTACTTTCCCATCAGCCTATCATCCTCATCCTCGTCCTCGTCCTCAACACTCGCTTTGCCTTTATAAAGTGGAAAGACTTTCAGCCAGTCCTGAAACTGTCTGAACTCAGACTCCAGGTCACTTGGATACAGCTGAACAAACATACAAACACACAGAGGCAGACATTTAAAAAATCTACCAGTTTTCCATATCTGTTCTGACTGCACCAGATTGTCTGCCAGCATCATCATTAAAAAAACCTCAAAGATATTTCTGTCATAAACAGAAAATTAAAGGTCTTTAAAGGTCCTCTTGGTTCCTAGTACCCAAGACTCGACCCTGGTCCAAATTATATTCAGTCTAATCAGGTCTGATACAGTAGATTGGTCAATCTGCTCGGGCAAATTTAATCTTGGGTCTGTCCTCATGCTGCTTTCAGATAGGGTTTATTTTTTGAAAACTAACTTGTGCATATTGGGTTTGGGTAGCCCACATCTCACAGTGGGCACTGGCCTCTGCTTGGGTTGTACCTTGTCACCAAATCTGGTGCAGCTGAGGGATGTGGAGAGTCTCTGACTGCTATTCCTGTCATATACTGGGACAGTTTTCAACTTAAAGCAAAGCGGCCAGACTTAATCAGACAAGGGTGCATTGCCCCATTCAGATCGAGTTGAGATGCTGCCCCAACTACCAGAAACATCTTAAATTCACTTAACATGTCTGATTCAGTGTCTGGTCTGAACTGAAAGACTGTAAACTCGGTCATAGTGACCTCACACCTTTAGTGTGGCGATCTTCTTGCGTTTAGGAGGTTCAGGCTCCACCACAATTTCGTCCTCCTCCTCTTCAATGTTTGCCATGGTCAGATTTGCTCCATCTGAGAAAAAGAAAACTGTATCAACATTCACAAGCCAACTCTGTTAACGTTGTTTTTCATTTAGTTTTTGTGCTGATCTTTTATTTTGTAGTATACTTATCCTAATCATATTTATTTATCCGTTTTTCACTTTTTTTTTTTTTTTTTATTGCTGTTGACGCACACAGGGAGCCCTGACCTCAGAACCATCCAGCACGTTTGGCATGACCCAGGTGCCCAACTGCGAGACCATCTTCAGTATTGGACCTCACTAATGCTCTTGGTGCTGGATGGGAATAGATCCCTGCAGCCAGGATCCAAAGTCTTGTGGAAGGTCTTCCGGGAAGATGGTGTGATAGCAGTAGACTGATGCCTTTGCATTACATGTTCACCTAATACATATGGAGTTGCAATGTACCTGTGTCCACATACTCTTGGCCACATAGTGTACTTCTTCATTGGAAAACAAATTTTGAAAATCTGCTGACAATTTGACAGCCGAAAAAGGAAAATAATCTAATAAGAGTTGAAGCTGTGTAAGCACATACTGACTTTGTATTTGTAGAGAAACACTGGGGGATTTCCCATTAACTTAAATACAGTATGAGTTTCATCACAGCAGCATCTAGTAGACATTAGAGGAACTGCAGGTGACTGCACTTTAGCTCAGACTTCAGTTGCTGATTGGACATTTCAGCTGTATCAGTTGCTTTTTACCATTTTCACACTTTTTTAAAATAAACAAATGTCAAAATACACATTATTATAACTGAAATAACAAAGCAGGAGTTAAACTGTACCTGCTTCTGCGTGTTCCTCATTCTCCTCCTCCTCAGCTGCCTGCAGAAAGTCAACGCATCACACAGCTCATTAATAACTGGTAGTTCTCTTATTGAATATGAAATAAGTAACTTTTGCATGTTCAGTGCAAACACACAACTCATTTTAACATGTAGTCTGTTCTGGCACCTTCTACCATAAAGTGTCATTAAATGCACGGACAACATAAAGAGAAAATGTGTCACCTGTGGAGCAGCAGGGCTGAAAAAAAACCCCACCAATAATTTTATTTGTCCCAAGCGAAAAGCAACCTAGCTGCTTACTTGCACCCAATCTGTCTGTGCACTCAATGCATGAGCCAAAAATCTCCCACAAGGCATTGCAATTGTAGGCAGACATGTTACTGCTCTGCTTTGATAGCTAAAGCTATGGCAGAGAAGATCCCCACATCAGCTTTTGTTCACAAATGAAGACCATTGTTACAGGCCAGGCCTTCCCCTTTAAGACATATGGCCTTATAGGAATTGTTGTTGTTGCCAGAAACTGCGACCTGCATGCAGTATGAGAGTGAAACAGATTCATTTTACATGCAGCCAAGGGTAGAGAAAGTATCAACAGTAGTCAGTTTTAAGTGTATAGATAGGATTGTAATGTAGTGAACTGGGCACCAAAGGCAATAATGCAGTATTCATGTTACCAAGACAGAATAAAGCTAGTTGGCCTCCCTCTTCACTTCTCCCCACCGAAAAAGCCTGGACTTCTAAGGCTAGTTACCGGCTATGAGGTCCCCAACTACGGTTCAGGGCCATAGATCTGGGTGATAACACATTACAACTAAAAAAGAAGTTGGATGTGGCAAGAACTAAAACCAGAGTTGACACTGGTGTGGCTTTTGAACGAAGGCAACAACTGAGAGAACAAAAGGGGCTGAAAAGTAATGCCATGGTGGCTGTATTTCTGCTGGACAGGTAATTATCAGTTTTGTTTTGTTTGTTATTTTCCTGAAATCTGTAAGTAGTAGTCAGGCAGTGCGTGTTGCAGTGTGTGTAGTGCTTTGGAGGGAAGTCAGAATGAAAGGGTAGGATTTCTTCGGTTGACTAGTTTCAAAACTGACCTTGCTGGTTTTTCCAGGATTGCCAGCTCTACCTTTAATGTACTTTTTACTCTCTTATACCTATAAAGCTTTAGTTACTAGTTACTTTGTAGAGTTTGATTATTAATACAAAATACACTCAACAAATAAATTATGATGTATCGTTATAGATTAAACTATCCAGCAGTATATAAAGTAGTTAAAAATATTTCACCTAACACATTAAGTAATACACTACATTAAAGCATCAATGATTACAATCTACTTCTATAACTTAAATAAATGAAATGGGACATTCTCTATAAGGAGTGCTTAGAAATATTTTGATGCCAACACTTTTGTATTTTTTTGAGTAAAATTTTGAATGCTGCACTGTGGCATTTTGTGTTATTTGTTCTTATTTACCAATATTTGTTATGTTTAATTTATTATTTAAAGGTGCTCCAACAATTTAGTATTGCACTTGTTGAACCTGTGGGAAAGATTTTCAAAACTGTCAAAATCAAAAACAGCAGAGGCCAAATACTCTGACTTTTACATTTCCCATAGTGCACCTGGACAGTGACTTTCATTGCCTGGTAAACGCCACCATCTTTCGGATGTAACCCCAGCCATAAATTCCAGTTTGTAACTCAGGATCATACGTTTTTCTCCAAACCCAAACTGAGATAAGTCAGATCATATCGCTCAGACAGAGTCAAATAAACCAGTGTCTCACCTGTTTCTCCATTTCCTCCAGTGAGGCATAATATTTGGACCACCAGTCCAATTCCTCCTTCTCAGGCACGTCCTCCTCCAGCTCTTCTTCTTTAAACTTTATCTTCTTTAGGGGAGCCAGGGGAGCCTGAGGGATGGGGCAAGTGTCAATGTCAACTCACTCCTAAAACGTTTATGGTAGAAATCTTTGTCTAAATGATTTTATGTTCTTAATGCAGAGGAAGAGGAGAAGAAGATTAACCTACATACCTTAATCAGCTTCATGGGGTTGGGAATCTTTGACTTTTTGATTGGGAGGGTGGTGAGTTTCATTTGCTTCATTGTCCCCAGAGGAGTGACCTTCGCTGCAGCCTGTTTCACTGAAGAGACACACAAGGTCCATCAAATCTTCAGTCAACTACCTGTCCCAGAGAGCACTGCTTCGAGAATATGTCTGATAACAAGTTACAAATGGCTGACATTTTCTGCCCTTGGTCTTTTGGTTGTAGAAGAAGAAAGAGGGCGCGGAGGTGAAAAACAAGGAGAAACCGCACTAACAATCATGGTTGCTACAGTGACAGGGTCAAGGGGCTTTCCTAAGCTCAACAGCCAATCAGAGTGGTCTCTCACACCAACCATGTCTGACACTGATTCAACATGCCAAATCGGCTAAAAAGCCACCAACAAGGTCCGGCTAGTGCCAAGGGTGTGGGACACATTGGGAAGACAAGGGCAATAGATGCTCACAGTCGGGCCAGCAGCCAACTGTCAACTTGATGTGTCATGGGCCTAAAATGCTAAATTACTCTGAAAATAGAACTTAATCGTTTGTAACTAACATTATAGCATTTTAATATTATCAAGGTGAGGAAAAAGTAGAGCAGGATCCAATGTAATGCTAACATCAAACATTAGTTAATGTACCGTTAAAGTTGTGTCTGTGGTATATGTCTGAATGTTACAAAAATGTCCACTGTAAAGAACTAGCTCCAGCATTTCATTGGTAGCACCTACCTTTTGGTTTTGGCTCCTCCTCTTCTTCTCCCTCCTCCATGCTGTGGTCTCGGCCATAGTCCATGAGGCTCTGGACCACATGGGTCCCAACCAAAGCGAGCCGACCAAATGCCCGTTGCTCCACCACAAATAATGTCAGAGGTGGGTGGAGGTAGGCCTGCTCTGGGAGATCCTGAGTGAGCCAGACAAGAAAATAGGCATTAGTTGCATCCCTGTTGTGTATGCATCATGCAGTGGATACGCCATGCATCCTTCGCCCCCATATTCAGAAGGCCAAATGTTGTTATTAGCTATAAGTAATAACAGTAACCATCACTCATTACAGAAACTGACCACATCGATGTAGCGGACTAGCTCTTTGAAGTTGGGGTGAGCCTTGTAGCTCTCAATCTCTTCAGACTCCAGCTGTCGTCCTGCACATTCCACTTTCACCTGGGGGTGCTCCACCTCAAACAGCTGCACCCGCTTCAGGTCCCGCAGACCCCAGAACAGCACCTGAACACACATGCAGAAACATAGAGGTGGCGTCATATAAGCCTGCTGTTCCTGAAACATGTCAACAGACAGCAAGTCCATGTCTTTATTACGCTGCGTGGGCAAATTCCTGTTCAGCGCCATCATTGTGAGGGGGGTAAGATTTGGTTTTGCAGTTTGGTTTAGCTTAGGGGAAGGTTTGGGTGTTAGGCATGTAGTTGTGATGGGTAAGGTCAGAGTAAGGGGCTAGGGCCAATAGACCTTTCTCAGTCTGCAGTGTTCTTTGTATTTGTGTGTTTGTGGACTTGTGACACATCATCAGTCACAGCCCAAGTATTGTTCCAGTTCAAAGCACACATCAAATATGCTTTGGGAGCTGATTTGTATGGGCTTGTGGCAACCAAGTATCCCACAGTGCTCTGGGCCAACTAGCTGTGATGGCAGAGGTTTGAGGCCAGGATCAAAGTTCTTATAATTTTCACCCTAGGACTGGTATTATGCCACTTTAGTAAGTTTTTGATATTTTTTCAGGCAAGAATGACACCACTTAGATTTAGAATACATATATGGTCAGTCTATCCAAGTAATGTCAATTTGGAAATTGGCTGATGTTTTCAGAGTGGACCAAGCTGACCAGATAGTCAGCATCACTCATCCTTGAATTCAGTTCAGAGTACTCTGTCAGCAAGGACACTGATGTTCCAATTGCACAATGAGCATACTGCGTCCTCCCATCCTCAGGAGTTTGGACTCAAAGTTCAAACTTACCAAGCCCGATCTTGGTGTACTTTGTATTGAGGAAAGCCTAATGAGTATCCTCACAACTGCAGAAAGACATACCTACATGTGTGTGTGTTCTTGTACTTGCTGCATAGTGAGGACCAAAAAAGTATTTTTTGCTACAGACTGCAGACATTCTTGCTAAGTGAGGACATTTTGGCCAGTCCTCACTTTCTGAAACACCTTTTTGAGGGTTAAGACTTGGCTTTAGAGTTCAGGTTAAAATTAGATTTAGGCATTTAGTTCTGATGGTTAAGTGTTAGGGTAAGGGGCTAGGGAATGCTTCGTGTCATTAAGTGTCCTCACAAAGATAGAAGAAGTACAAATGTGTGTGTGTGAGACCTCAATTCTGAACGTCCTCATGACAGGTCGGACTCCGTCTGGGATGGTATAATATCTGTCCTCTTCTATGAAGGTCAGCTCTTGAGGGTCCACACTCCTGGGGAGACATGGCTGCAAGAGGGACATGATTTTCTGGTTTACTATCTGAAATTAATGAATGAATACTGTTTTCTGTAATTATGTTAGATGATAATTCTGCTTTATCACAACTCTAATTTTATTTTGGTTGTTTTTTATGAGAGAGAGGCAGAGGGAGAGAGAAGGCAGGAAGGCAGACAGATTGATAAATTGCAGATAAACGTTAGTTTATCCATATTTATCTAAACTGATTCATTTATTTACCTCTAGTATCAGGCTATAAACTGACTAACAGCCAGCAAGAAATTATGGATCAAACCACCAAAATAATATGCCCGTTGTAATAAACTACCGTTATCCTTAATCCTGAACTGTACGTTTCTTTCCAGAGCAACACTGTGGTTTAATGAGCCACTGATTGATTGATTTAGTGTCACCTCTCGAAACCCCGAGTAGTCCAGCTCAATGAGCTCGAAAGCAGCTAGTAGCTCGCCAGCGGTGGCCCTGCCCATGTTTATGTCATAGAAACGAAGGTGGGGCTTCTGGTAGACCTGGTCTGCAGGTTTAAAATCTGGCTCAGCAAATGCCCGACCCAGAGGCTTCGAACCACCCTGCACACACACACACACACACACACACACACACACACACGGACGGACACACACGGGCTGTTATGACAGCACTTTCACAGAACAGAATGTGAAGGAGAAGAAGCAACTGAGCATCCATGTTACCACAGCATTGTGGTCATAAAAGTTGATGATGATGAGGGGTGGGTCTCGTTGGAGCTCCTCCATTGTACCCTCCAGCAGGACAATGTCAAACAACAAACACTCGCACCATGCTGGGGAGAGAGTGTCATGCAAAATCTGAAACACACAGAATATGTATAAGAACGTGTATGTTAGAGGGCAACTCCACCCATTTTAAACACAATGTTCAGTTCAATAATCATAATAAGTATTACTCAGCCTGTGACAACAGCTATATATTATCTACCATGGGCTTGAAAACTACAGATCTATAAAAGAAAACTTGTGCTACAAGTAATGTTTTCACACCAGGGGAAGTTAATGACTCATAACCTGGAGCTTCCCAGTACCCATAAACTGACTGAACGTTGGTTCTGATTTGCTTTTCCACTGTATTTTTCCCTGTGTCAGTCAGTATTTACACAAGGGCAGGGGGACCAAAATTCAATTCCTGGAACTTGTCTCCAAATCAAGCGGAGGGCAGTGGAAACGATAGTAGTAGAGTAGTTTTATTTTGAGAGACTTACTCATGCCATTGATGATTGATGATACTAATAGTAAGGTCTAGACCTTACTTTGTAAGGTGTCCTGAGATGTTGTGATTTGGTGCTATACAAATAAAATTGAATTGAATTTCTTAGAGCAATTTGCTGCATGTGAATTATCAGAATTTGAAACAATGCACCAATTGCTGAATGAATTATCCTGTTATCCACACAGTTGTACTGTACCTACCCTGGTGACCTGGCAGTGTGTAGTGAAGACGACCTTGGCATAGGGATCTGACAGGCCATCATCATCAGCAGCTATCATGCCACGCCCCTGGTACATGTGACATCGTAGCTGGAAGTACCTGCTGTCTGCAAAGCAAAAGAATGATCTACCTTACCTGACCAGGACAGACACTTTGCTGCTGAGTCACACTAAAGCCTCATGGTAGACAAATCAAAATAAAATGAATTACTGGGATTTTAATCTTAAGAACAAACTCTACTCCAATTATTCTAATAATAAAGAAGTCCTGAGGGGTCAATCTGTGAACACTATGCTCCTGAGCTGGACAAGGTCAGGTGACTTACCATGACAGGTCACACTGAGAGGAAGCTTCACCCTCTCTTTGCTGACCAGCCTTTGTTGCTTCTCCTCCTCCTCCTCAAAGACCGGCAGAAACTCCTCTGGCAAGGAGTTGGTGGCCTCTTTACTGTACTTGGCCAGACCGAGCCACATGTAGACCTCCAGCTTCGCAAATATCTCTCTTGCTGCACCTACAGGAGACTGAAAAGACAGGTGATGTTAGAAACATCACTGACGATTTTAGAAACGGAACAGCAAGTGTTATCATTGACCGGTGAGCATAATGAGTTTAGGGTAAAATGTCAAGCTTCATCAATGATTTTAGAAAGAACAGCCAGTGTCATATGATATAAGAGATAGGATGGCAAGTACCACTGATAACTCTGGAGAAGGAACAGTGAGTCATCATCAGTGATTTTAACGACAGAATGGAAGGCTTTAGAATGACTTGAGACCAATGACCTCCAAGTGAATGAAAAGCACTACTGATGATTGTAGAGACAGAACATTGAGTGTCATCAGTGATTTTAGAGACAGAGTGGTTACCTTCATGTAGAGGGTGAGGATTCGACCACAGTCCCTCCCCTTCTGCTCCTCCACAACTGAGTACAGAATGGAGTAGGCTGGAATCCTGACGTAAGCCAATCGGTTCCTTCCACTCAGTAACCACAGAAACACATCTGGGATGGTACTCTGGGGCTGAAGAGAGTATGGTGTTGGACATCTGACATACACACTGAAACCTTGTCTTTATGGTGACCTCTCTATGGTCTCTGACCTCTTTAGCCAGCTGGCGGAGTCTCTTCAGGAATTTCCTGCTGTCTATCAGTCGCTGTTTGACTGTTCGCCTGGTGGTCCTCCGTCTGGCCCTCACTGCCCGCCTGGCCAGCAGGACCTAGATACAGTCAGACAGTCAGCCAGACAGGGAGGAAGGTCATAAACTGACAGGTAAAAGGTGACAGGTGAAGAGGCAAGCAGGTAGAAAAAGAGACAGACTGACCAAATTCTTTTTGATAAACTCCCTCCTGCATTTGTCCAGGTTGTTGGGACGAGCCTGAGACTTCCTGAATGCGAATCCAGTGAATTGTCTACAGAGAGACAGACAGGAAGACAGAACCATGGGGACAAGTCAAACCAAATCAGACCAAATCAAACTAAATCTATTCAAATCAAATATTTTCAAAGGAGGACACTCACTTGCAGGAGGCCACCAACTCGAGCAGCACCTCCACCAAACGTTCCTTTACTTTACTCTTTGGCCTCCTCAGGAGACGGTCCACCTCATCAAGACCCTTCTCCTAAAAGAGGAGTGGAGAGGATGAGCCATAGTTTATAGGCATTGTCTAATGCACAAATGTAATTTTGTTTCATGATGCTCACCAGCCTGTCGGCCATCTTGTTGAGCCAATTAGACTGATAGAGACGAAAGCTGTGATCTTCAAACTGACTCCAGACAAACAGGCAAGGCTTCTCTTTTGTGATGGGTGGCTGGAGAGGAAGACACTGGTATGACCTGAGTAAGACAGAGAGAGACATAGAGAAACAGTCACACAGACAGACAGGAAGTGGGCAGTGTGTGTGCAGTAGTTAACCCTTCAAGAATCATCACCTTATCATACTAAATGGACTGCATTCATGTGGTATTTTAACCCAAAGTTCTTTATAATTTCCTTTCTCATTCACAGACACACGTTCACATAGCTAGCATGCGAGGTATTGTCTTAGTCATTGAGAGCATATGGAGTCTGATGTGCAAGGACAGTTCATCATGTGGACATGCAGGGATCAAACAGTGAATACTGCGATTAGTGGACTACCTGCTTTACCTGCTGAGTCACAGAGAAGCAGGTGCTGGTGTGACCCTTTGACCCTGGGATCTTTTTGTTTGGCACAGTACCTCCTGGTAAAGCAACATGACTCCAGGTGAGAGGGCAGGCCAAGAGAAATTCAAAAACCTCTATAAGTCAAAATCTACAGGATTTGTTCCTGGAATGGGGCATCTTCCTGGCCTGGGAACTCCATTCCCAGCCTCCTTTGACTGAGGCCCCTGTCCATGTCATCTTCAGCTACAACATCTTGTATTAACTCCACAGCTGGAGTTGTTTGGACACCAATAGTAAAGAAACCTATGCAGATGAAGAAGAGCATAGAAGTACTGGGAGGCCAGGGGGGCTGCAGCTTCTGTAGTCACAGAAGGAAAAGTTTGGGCGTGGAAGTTTTGGAGGGCCTTTCAATTGGCCTCAAAGGTGGTCCAACAACTCAGGAAGGAGAGACAGGACTTAGGGAGTACTACTGGTGACCTTGACTGTAGAAATTGCTGGGAAAGAGAAGGAAGACTTAGAAGAACCCCAAACCCCTAATGACATATCTTCTATGGAGGAGGCAGTGACAGAGAACTTAGGTGAAGTCTTACCATCTCCCTTGGAAATACAGTAGGTAAAAAGTTCTGCATTTTCAAAGCATCGGCACGGCAGCTACAGAACACACGGGACAGTCTATCCATTCATCCATTATTTATACCACTTATTCCTGAATAGGGTCACGGGGGTGCTGGAGCCTATCGCAGCTGACACTGGGCAAGAGGCGGGGTCCACCCTAAACAGGCTGCCAGTCTATCACAGGGTTAACGTGTAGACAAAACAACCACACTCACTCCTATGGGCAATTTAGAGTCACCAATCAACGTAAGCTGCATGTCTTTGGACTGTGGGAGGAAGCCGGAGTACCTGGAGAGAACCCACACAGGCATAGGGAGAACATGCAAACTATCGGGCTCGAACACAGAACCTTCTTGCTGTGAGATGACAGCACTAACCACTGTGCAGCTGTGCCACCCCAACATGGGACAGTACCTGGGAAAAAGAATGTCTAGGCTACCTTACTTGGCCGTCTTCCACTGTGACCTCCACCCTAAGAAGCAGTGGAAACTACAATAGATGTTGTGTAGTAGTTAAGTGTGTAGATGGAGCAGTTTCCTGTGTAGTGCACTAGGGTTTTTTTTTTACCTGTCGTACTCAGTGGGCTGGGGTTTCATGGGTGCAGTCAAAGATCTGTTTTCAGGTTCAAAACTCAGCACCTCCTCTTTGTACTGCTCCTCCTCCCACTCCAGCAGACTCTCCGTCTCTTCACTCAGATCCTCCCTGCTCCTTCTCAGCTCCTCCTTTGTCTGGCCCTTCGTGGATCTCCCAACCCTCACTGCCTTCCCATAATTCCCTGCCAGAAACAAAACAGCTGATGGAGTTCAAGGGTTTGATTTGGGAATATGTTAAGAAAAGTGCACACACTTCTCCAAAACAAACTTTTTTTGCATCAGGTGCATTGGCCAAGGAGTAATACTAGTAGAATAAAAAGATTATATGCAGATTTGAAGATATTATTTTGGCTCTGTGAAACTGTGAAAGATTTTCTTCTGGCATGATTAAGTAGATTAATTGAGAAAATAAATGTCAGATTGATCAATAATGCAAATTATTTTTACAACTTATCTTTCTGAGAGTTTCTGAAGAGCATTTTCATGTCTTATACATGACCAGATTTTTTATCTTTATGAATTTCTTAAAACTTTCTTTCATTATAAGTGTGACACGGTCAGCATTAGGCCTTTCCTTTTGTCTCAGGGTCGGCAGCACCTAGTAAAGATGTGTCTATAAGTAAACAGTTCTATATCCAGGACACAAAATACACTGTTTACCTATGGAGAGCTCAAAGGTCAGTGGTCTGCTTCCTACACAAGGGTCTATCATAGTAACTTCAAACAAAGATGCAAACAGCAGAAACTCCACATTGTCTCCCAGGAAACCCTGAGGATGAGAAACAAGACAAAAAGGCTAAGAGCTGCAGGACATCACTCTCTCTGTTTTCAGCCTGGAACACAGTTATCTCTCTTTTGTTTGCCTTATACTGTAGCTCCTCCTACCTGGGCAGATTATAAGTAGCTTAAAGGTGTCTTGTCACTGATATGCAGATAATATTCAATTATACATTTAGTTTAAGCCTCAAAAGGTTGTTTTTATTTGACTGTCTGAACTCAATTAAAATTGGGTGACAGCTTTTTAAACATAAATGTAACATTTCTCCACCCTTCACTGCTGGAACTGAGTTGACATCTGCTGATTCGGGGTGAGAAAATAAAATAATTCTATAACATTAATTCTTGTCTTTCAATATTAAAATATAGAGGGAAGCATAAGAAGTGAGGAAGACACTGACAGAGAGGAGGGGCAAAAAAGTAGAGAAAGAATGATGAGGTGGACAAATCAGATATCAGAGACACAACCAAGACACAGTGTTTTAGTTAAAATGGTTAATTAATGATGACAATGGTGGTGGTGGTGGTGTCGGCACTGACCTCAGGGAGAGGGTGGGTCTCCTGAACCTCCACAGTAACAGCCTCAGGTACCTCTTCTCCCGCATCCCCTGATTCTTCAGCTGTTCCACTGCTATCCAGAGACGCTACAGCATCAACAAGTAAACAAACTGACAAATAAACCACCAAATCATGTGGAGTTGTTCAACCCAGAAGTCCCACAAAAGGCCATCTTTAGTGTAATATTATGATCAACAATGGCAACCACTCTTCTGCTCTTAAGGATCGCTTTATTATGTCCTGGACCTAACACTGTACTGGATGTTGTGTAGCATCTGATTTCTATTTTTTATTATCAAAAGACTGACCTTCTGCCTTGTCCTTTTTGCTGGCCTTCTTCTTCTTCTTCAGTCCCAGTTTTCCGAGGGCTCCTTTCATCTTTTCAATGGGAGAGAAAAAGAAAGGTTCCATAACAACCACTGAGGCCATAAAAGATCAGGTTAGTGTTGTTAAAGTCACACAAGATCTTATTAGATATTGTGGGTGCCAAGGTGATAACATCCTGACTCTGATGAAACGTGTAATGACAAATAGCTGCAGATGAACTGATGTGTTGCCCAGCTTAAAGGCTGCTTTAACAAATCATCCCTGTGATATTTTAGATTTCATGCAGCCCAACTGTTATGAAAAACAGGAAGTAGGGTGCTACCTTTGCTATGGAAGCCGGGCCGGCATCCCCAGTGCCGGCAGCGGGGGAATTGTAAACTTCCACAGAGAGGGCGAGGAGGATTCGACCACGATAAAAGATTCCTTCACCCAGACCCTCGTTCAAAGCCTGGAAATGACAAACAGCTGTCTTGATTACTATGTTGTAATTCTGAACAGCCTACAAATGATCATTATTACCGACTCCACAATGTCTGGACATTAAAGAAATTGTTTAACATTGTGGTAAATATAAGACTGTTAATATAAGAAGATCAATACCACTCGCCATGTCCTCATGGTTAATAAGAGGCCACAGCCAGCATTAGTTTAGCATTGCATAAAGACTGGAAACAAGAAAGCTAGCCTAGGTCTAATCAATGGTAAAAGAAATGTGCCTACAACACCTCTAAGGCTCACTGATTAACACATTTATTTCGCCTGTGCGTGCTGTGTGTGCTGGACTATATCTTGGTTAACTGTAGTGATTTCCTGGTCCTCAGCCTTCTTACCTAACTCTCTGCATGAAAACTAATAAAAATATTTCTCAAAATCTTGAACTCTTGCTTTAAACGCCAACTTGGGTTTACCTGGTGGACGTCTCCAAGGGTAGAGTTCTGCGGAGAACCGTACAGGTTGAGCCAACTTGGACCAAAGGTGGGGTTAAACCCTGCAGACAAAAAAACACAGACATTCTCTGACCTTAAATTCTCAAATGATAGTTAGTAGACTGCTGCCCCCATGACCCGGTTCCGGATAAGCGGAGGAAAAAGGATGGATGGGTGGATGGATGGATAGTTAGTATTCAAATAATGGTATCTTAATTATTTGGCAACAAGTAAATGCTGCTCATTATTTAAGGCTAAAAATGTAAATTCAGTGTAATGTATACAGAATACACATATTCCACAGCATCCATTCCTTCAATGAAACAACAGAGTCAAGTCATCCTCAACACTCTGCTGCTCCCACTGTTTAATAATAATGTTGTTTTCATTTACTGATAATAGTTGTCTACTTTTCTGTTCTTTTGCTTGATATTAATTAAATTCAACACTTCCTGCATATTGTATATTGCATCACTCAGCATATCTAAACTGCTGTTCACACCGTTCCTGGTGTGATCCGAAATCTGTTGCAGGTCCAGAAAGTGTGTTGCCAGGGCAATGTCTCCCATCTTGGCATCATCAAGGACCTGAATTCGGATTCGCTGAGCCAAAGGAGGAAACTGCTCGATGAAGGAAATCTCCTCGTTCCAAACCGGTCTGCTGGTAGCACTGGCGACTGACGTCTCCCCCTGCACACACAAATGGTAGGATTACAAAACCTTTTTTTTTTTTTTTTTTTATGAAACATGTAAATTTCACAGAATAGGGTTGCATACAATGACAAAAAAAACACTTTATTTAAATTTAAATAAAGTGATTCCTTGTCATGGAGTGTGACTATTCTTGGGAAGGGCTCAAAGTTGAAATGCTGTAAATGTATGAAAATGAGGGCAAAATGCAACAAGTAAATCCACAATACAACAATCTGACAAATACTGACATCGAAAAGTGAGGCATTGGGTCAGGGAGTTTTAGCTTTACCTGCTAGGTGGATACATTTCTGTGGAGGAGATTATTCCTGTTGTTACTGGGATTCCTCAACAGGCACAACGTCACATAAAAAGATATACAGTGCCTTGCGAAAGTATTCGGCCCCCTTGAACTTTGCGACCTTTTGCCACATTTCAGGCTTCAAACATAAAGATATAAAACTGTAATTTTTTGTGAAGAATCAACAACAAGTGGGACACAATCATGAAGTGGAACGAAATTTATTGGATATGTCAAACTTTTTTAACAAATAAAAAACTGAAAAACTGGGCGTGCAAAATTATTCAGCCCCCTTAAGTTAATACTTTGTAGCGCCACCTTTTGCTCCGATTACAGCTGTAAGTCGCTTGGGGTATGTCTCTATCAGTTTTGCACATCGAGAGACGGAAATTTTTGCCCATTCCTCCTTGCAAAACAGCTCAAGCTCAGTGAGGTTGGATGGAGAGCATTTGTGAACAGCAGTTTTCAGTTCTTTCCACAGATTCTCAATTGGATTCAGGTCTGGACTTTGACTTGGCCATTCTAACACCTGGATATGTTTATTTGTGAACCATTCCATTGTAGATTTTGCTTTATGTTTTGGATCATTGTCTTGTTGGAAGACAAATCTCCGTCCCAGTCTCAGGTCTTTTGCAGACTCCATCAGGTTTCCTTCCAGAATGGTCCTGTATTTGGCTCCATCCATCTTCCCATCAATTTTAACCATCTTCCCTGTCCCTGCTGAAGAAAAGCAGGCCCAAACCACGATGCTGCCACCACCATGTTTGACAGTGGGGATGGTGTGTTCAAGGTGATGAGCTGTGTTGCTTTTACGCCAAACATAACGTTTTGCATTGTTGCCAAAAAGTTCGATTTTGGTTTCATCTGACCAGAGCACCTTCTTCCACATGTTTGGTGTGTCTCCCAGGTGGCTTGTGGCAAACTTTAAACGACACTTTTTATGGATATCTTTAAGAAATGGCTTTCTTCTTGCCACTCTTCCATAAAGGCCAGATTTGTGCAGTATACGACTGATTGTTGTCCTATGGACAGAGTCTCCCACCTCAGCTGTAGATCTCTGCAGTTCATCCAGAGTGATCATGGGCCTCTTGGCTGCATCTCTGATCAGTCTTCTCCTTGTATGAGCTGAAAGTTTAGAGGGACGGCCAGGTCTCTTGTTCTTCATGATGCTCTCTGTGCTTTACACGGACCTCTGAGACTATCACAGTGCAGGTGCATTTATATGGAGACTTGATTCCACACAGGTGGATTCTATTTATCATCCTTTGTCATTTAGGTCAACATTGGATCATTCAGAGATCCTCACTGAACTTCTGGAGAGAGTTTGCTGCACTGAAAGTAAAGGGGCTGAATAATTTTGCACGCCCAATTTTTCAGTTTTTTATTTGTTAAAAAAGTTTGAAATATCCAATAAATTTCGTTCCACTTCATGATTGTGTCCCACTTGTTGTTGATTCTTCACAAAAAAGTAAAGTTTTATATCTTTATGTTTGAAGCCTGAAATGTGGCAAAAGGTCGTAAAGTTCAAGGGGGCCGAATACTTTCGCAAGGCACTGTAAATACTCATGGGTTTCTTATTTACGTAACATTTGCTAATGAACTACCTTTCATTAGCTTGCAAGTGTTGACAGAGCCACAATACCGAGCAACAAGTGTAAGATGCAATGCTGTTTGCATCCAGTGAATCAATGTCATCTCTGTTGACTGCAGCACTCTCTCTCTCTCTCTCTCTCTCTCTCCCTTGTTTTTTTAACTAACAAGAAATCATTGGTCTTTCCAGTTGAAACATAGGTTTCATTTCTTCAAAAGACATTTGCTGCAGTGGAAATGTCCCAGTTGTGGCTGCCAGTTGTGCATCCTTCTCATTCTTGAGAAGAATATATATAGCAACACATACTGTTCATTTACATGTCTGTGTACCTGTTGTCCAGCAAAGGTCACTTGAACGTAGGGGTCAATGAAGACAGTCCGGTCAGTGGCCTTTGACATTTTGCCCATTAACCCTGCCTCCATAGTGGGTAGACCTTCGGCCCTGTAGATCCGGATACGGAACCGAGCCCACGGCCGCTCAGCAGGCATACCACGAGGAAGCATTAGGTTTCTGCAAGATAAACACAAAGTCAGATTTACATATTACTGAAGCCCTTACTACCCAAGCTATTCCTTATGTTTTAATGATCCAGCTTGAATTTCTAACTTTCTAATTTGAAACTAGTTAGTAGTTGCAGAGAACTATCAAAGAAATGTACACACAAATTTAATGATTCACATATAGTTGGTGCAGCATAGTCCAGAACAAGAAGTAACAGTAGAGTACTTGGACCACTACCAGCGCTGTGTAGTTATGTTTTTGTAAAATGTTATGTAATCATAGTTATGACCATAACTCGTTTAAAAACTCATGATACTCAGGATTCCTCATTTCTCACTTTTCTATGTCCTCTGATGAGGACGACGGAGGCAGACTGGGCATGCTCATAGCATCTCCCTTCATCAGGACACTGACGGTGGCCTTGATGTATCCCTTGATCCCTGACCTTGTGTCTGCCGGGTCAGTGAGAGGAGCCCATTTCTGGTAGAAACGGTGGTCTGGAGATACACAGAGGTCAGCTGTCAGTAAGTACTGCTGTATTTCAGTCAGAATACTGCAGCGTGGGTAGTACTGGTACCTGGCTGATTGTACACGGTGGCGATGTCAATCTTAAATGTTCCAATGTGGGTCATCAGGAAGGCCAACATCCGCCTGTGCACCACCTGAAAGGACATGACATCACAGGTGTCCAGTGTGACCATGCTCAGGTCTGTTACTATGGTAACAGCAGTAGAAAACAAAAAGAATAAAAAAAACAGTGGTACTGACCTTTATCTCTATGACTTTATCAAAGAGGGTTTGTGGAGTGTCGTAAAACTCAAACAGGAAGTTCTGAAAGAGAAGAGAACGTAAACAGCTGCAGTGTATTTTACTGTACTCGACTGTGTTTGTATGTTCTGAACTTTATTCTACTATACTGTACTATAATGTACTGTATTCTACTGTACTATAGTGTACTGTATTCTACTGTACTCTCATGTATTGTATTATCATACAATATATACTGGATTTTCTACTGCACTGCACTGTATCCTACTGTATACTCTGCTGTACCTCGTTATAGAAGGGGCAGTTGGTAGATTTCTGTGTCGCTGTGTGTTTTTTCTGATTCCCCACTCTGAGGAAAACTGCAGGGTTGATGTTGACTCCAACCAGTTTCTGAGCCTCCAGGATGTTTACATTCACCTATGCACACAAACACACAGATGCACAAACATGCACACATACCACAGTTAGGTTCACTCTGTCCTCTGTTCAGACTTGGGACTTTCTGATCACTGCATGATCCATCTCATTCTGACCTATAGGTAGAACCTAAAGCTGCAAAGCCTATGGCTAAAAAAATAAAGACCAAGAAGGCAAAGTCAGCGTTACAGGCCTGCTTTGACTGCACAGACTAGAGGGTTATTGAAGCTGCATCCACAGACCTGGATGAACCCACTGATACTGTGACATCATACATCAGCTTTTGTAAGGACATGTGTGTGCTCATACAACAACAGTAAGCCCTGGTTCACAGCAAAGCTCTAGCAGCTTCATCATGACAAAGTGGAGGCCTACAGAAGTGGGGACAGGATCCTGTACAGGCAGGCCAGGAACACACTGACAAGGGAGATCAGAGTAGCAAAGAGAAGTTACTCCAAAAAGCTGGAAAACCAGTTTTCAGCCAATGACCCTGCAACTGTGTGGAGAAGCCTACAGAACATAACTGACTGTTCTCTGTTCATCTATCACTGTCTGGTTTGGTTCAGCAACCAAACAGGACAGAAACAGACTCCAGCGAACAGTCAGGACTACACAAAGAATCATCAGTGCCAGCCTGCCCTTCATGGAGGACCTGTACATAACACGGGTCAAGAGGAGGGCAGAGAAGATTTCTGCAAACCCCTCACACCCTGGACACAAACTGTTTATACTCCTCACCTCTGGACACTCTAGGCCAAAACTACATGACACGAGGACAGTTTCTTCCCCCTGTACCATTACTCTGAATAACACTTAATCCATGTCTGTAAAACAGAACAACAGCTCCAGTGCAATAAATTGTAAATGTGACCATTGCACAATAACAATCTGAAAGCTCTTCTGCTACAGTCTGTGGGATGCTGGAACACACTATTGAGCCTTCTTAGTGTCATGGGCCAAAGTTAATGAAACACCAGTTAGTGTGAGGGAGCCCACCTGATGACCCTGTAGACCCTGTAGACTTTAGACATGCCTTCACTCCTACATCCACACAGAACTTGTATTGGTGATGACATAATTGCAAACCAGCCACTGTTCAACCTGAGCAAATACAATGCAGATGCTGTGTCAAACCACATATCTGCTCTTTACTTGGGTGAGGATAGGGTTCAGGGATGCAAGGGTTAGGTAGGTTGGAGCCATCTCTGGTAGGCTAGTGGTTAAGGCGTAGCACTGTGGCCTGGGTTTGAGTCAGGGTTGCGTCAGGAAGGGCATCCAGAGTAAAAAAAACCGTGCCAAATGTCAATATGCAAGTCGTCAGTGTGACGATTTGCTGTGGCGACCCCCAAACGGGAAAAGCTGAAAGTGACTTTCTTTCACTGAGCTTCCGTATGAATGTTCTCCCATTTAATTGTGTATTATTGACTTCAAAAATAGATTGTTTCTCTTTTTCTGCTAATTTCTTTCCTATTTTAAATGCACATATTTTCCTATTTTTCTTGTTGACTTACAAGCACAATGAGAGTTTCTTTACCAGAGAAATATTCCTTGTGTGTTTAAACATAATTGGCAAATAAACATGATTCTGATTCTGATATTGATTCTGAATGTTCTTATGTAAACAAGTCATAAGGATGGATGAACTCACCTGGAAACTCTGGACTTTGGGCAATTCTGCAATAATACTTCTGGCCAGTGGCCTACACCGACTAAACACACACACACGGACACACACACACACACACACATGTTAAAAGCAGATCTGTTTTACTACACAAAGATAAACTGACAAAGCTCAGATAACAGTCAGTCCATCAGGTTAGCAGACCTGAGCAGCGGAGTGAAGGTGATGGTGGAAGTGTCCAGATCCGTCATGTCATCATCACCATCATCCTCATCATCCTCATCCTCATCATCCCCAGTCCGGACCAGGCTCCGCCCCAGACGGCGAGCCTCTTTGTCCAGCCTACCAACACTCTGCGGACCAACACTGGAAAACAGAGTATAAAATAACAAATAGTTTCTCAGAGGTGGCGGCGTGCTGGCACTATTGATGGGTCCCCATCCCTACCATCAACCCACGGTGCCAAATTGCTTTATCATCAAGGGTCAGTACAAAAATGGATTCAGATATATAAAAAAAACATCTTTTAAAAAAGCCATCAATGCCATGTCCTTCTGGTAGAGCTGAAGACAAGGAGTCTGTCAGTTTCCTCCGTTAATGCTAATATTTTGCTTTCTCCTCCATTAAGACGGACGTTAAAGTTGTCCTATATGATGGGGGAAAATCAAACCTCTGTGGAAGGTGGATGAAAGCTCTAGAGAATGCTAGTAAGTTAACCTCATGTATTTACTCAAAGACAGGTGTACCAAAATCTGAGTGCAATTTTTATGTGATATCTAGCAGGTCAGATTATTTGTGTTCCAGGATTATTGTTGATCCAGGAAAAAAGGATCAGCAGCAATACTGAGTTTTCACCATGCATGTATTATGAGAACATATTTCAAAATGGCACCTATTCTCCCAATAAAAGTTGTGCATATGACAAGAAGAAATCTTCTTCAGGGTTTGTTTCTACAGTGTGGTGCCCACTGCACAAGCACGTTAGTGTTTCCCACGCTCCCTGCACTCACACTCGAAAATAAAGTCCCTTTTCCAGACTCTGGGAAAGTTTTACAAATATAAAACCTCCACTGGTTAAAAAATTCTTAAAACAAAGAGCAACAATTGATCTGGTTTGCAGTTTGAAGTGTCCTGTCAACAGTGCAGTACTATGAGTGACCACAGGGAAAATTTGGCTGAATGGCTGAGTGGTGGTGCCACATCCAGTTTTCTAATAATAGATTCATGGTTTTCACACTACAGTCTGTCTGCTACTCAGACATGTCCAATGTTTTGGCTGATATTATCCTTAACAAATTAGTATGGGTCTAGCTAAGAGAATGAACATGTGAGTAGTGTGAATTCTCACCTCTCAGAGTCATCAAATCCCTCATTCTTGAAGGCCAGTTCAAATCTGAAGTTAAAGAAAGAAAGAGAAAGAAAATAAGAGAGGGGCAAAATCTGTTCAGCCTGGCCAGAACTCCCTCTGCTGCTGTGGAAGTTTGCACCGTTTGTTGTTTGTTTGCTGGAAGGTTGATTTTCTTTTTTCTCTTTTGTCAGAGAGATTCATCTGTGTTATGATAGTAATGGTAGAACACCATCCTGCAATTTCCCCTGGCTTCCTGTATTTATGCAAAGCTAGTCTAAATATGTCCTAGCACTGGACATGTTTAGACTGTGTTGCTTTGTGAGGACATCCGTACTGGAGTTATAGTGATGGTCTCATCTAACTGGAGAAGCCAGAAAACTTAAATACATGTTGGAGTATTTCTTTAACACTGTTAGAAATGCAAATGAGACCTAAGAGGTTTTGTTTTTCCTCAGCTACACAGTGTGGTTTAGTGCAAAAAAAAAAGTGGTGATATGTTCTTACTCATCTTTGTCTTCAACCTCCAGGAAGTCATCCCCCTCCCAGCGTCCTGCTGTCCCCTCAACAGGGTTATACTGAATTTCCAATTCTACATAAATCTACAGAGAAAAAGAGAAGAAACCATTATGATTGAAACCAATAGTGTTCATTATCAGTCTATATCAGGGTGTTTGTGCAAGTGTACTTACATCAGTTGGGGTAAAGTTGGCATCAGTCAGGGGTTCTCGTAGCACTAGTCTCCCTGTGGTAACAACATGCTGGAGACTGACAACCAACCTCCCGAGCAGTCTACACACACACACGCATGCATTTTAAGTATGGCCGATATTATTAAAATGTGTCTATACAGTATATGTATATATGTATTATGTGTGTCTTTCTATGGTTGTGTGGAGATATTTTTATTTGAAATCATCGTTGTGAAGATGGAGACTCTCAGTGGACTGCTACAGTGTGGAAGAGGATGGTTCACTTGTCTCGACAAAGGCATAATTCTAGCACCAAAGTTTCTAAAAGGGTAAAATAATCTAATATGTAGTTAACACTAGTCTTGGATTACAGTATTAGGTTATAGATCAGAATCGACTCAGTGGGATGTGTCTTGTAGTTATTATTAAATTATAGTTTCATTTGATAATTAAAGGATTATTCATGTTATAAAAATCAAAAAAAGGAATGGATGCACAAACTAAGGTTACAGCACACAAAGTACTTCTGTTTGTATAGTTCTAAAGAATGATGTTTTGTATAATCTGACAAAAATTAGTGGTTCACAATCCCACGTTACTATCAAGACTAAGAGTCAAACATAAAAATCAATAACCATCATGAAAATCTGAGACTAAAATGTCAAACTAAAGTTCAATAATGTCAAACTAAAGTTCAATAACAGTGTTGCTCTCCTTTTCTCATCACTGGACTATGCTAACAGTAGCTGACTACCACGCTGGCTGCACTGATCATGTGACCAACCCCGTGCACAAACAGAAATCCTTTGACAGTCTCCCTTGTGGAGACATTTTGTCAAGTCTTCCCAGCTCTAAAGAGCTGTTTGAAGGTTAAGATTTGGTTTAGGTTAGGGGTAGGGTTGGGTTTAGACATTTAGTTGTGATGGTTAAGGTTCAGGTAAGAGGCTGGGGAATGCATTGTCAGTGACGAGCTATAGAAAAAAAAAACACTGAGTGTGTGTTTTACCTGTTAGAGAAGACTTTGCTGCAGTTGTAAACATTGATGATCAATATTTCATCGCTGATCTGTTTACCATAGTGAGGCCAACGGAAAAGCTGCACACACACACACACACACACAAAAACACAGGCTAATTGTAACAACAATTCATTTATGTTGTCATGTGAAAGGATAACAAGAAAAACTACAAAGGGGTTTTTAGCATCCATGTTCATAGGTTTTAACTTTTCCTCACGGACTTCTTCAGCAAACAGGGATGGCTCAAGTGTCATTGCATGACCTTTGTGCAGAGGTCACATGATAACAGGTGGCGATATATGCCTCTATCCAAAGATAGGGTGTCACTCAAGTCTCTTACATGGGTCATTGTTTCCCTCACTCACATCTTTTCTTTGCCTCTGAGTCCTGCCCACGTAAGATGCAAGAAAAAAAAATGCAATAAAAACGTTCAAGGAGAGAGGATACGAGATGTCCTTTCCTCCTGTATCTTTCATCTGAAGCAGCCAATCACCAAATTGCTGATAAAGGCACCTGGCAGCTCATAAAAAACATCCACAAAGGATGATTTCATGCATCCTCACTCATGGCTCCTCCAGCAGCTTCCTCACTCCTCAGTCCTCAGAGCTGGTATAAAAGACTTGGAATGCCCTCGATACTCATTTAACCTGAACAACTTCTGGGTCAAGTGAGGACTGAGGAACGATCATATACTATAGGAGACTTTAGAAACTCTGATGGTCTCTGTTGGCAGATCCTACTCGATCTTTCTTCAGTTGAAAAATTTAAGGGGGTCTGAATACTTTCCGTACCCACTGTAGATAATGTGATGAAGATGACGTGATGTAAATACACACACCCTGGAAGTAATTTGGTGTGTCAGTGGGTGTTACATGCACATGACCAATGAGGGTTAGACATGCGCACATATACACCTGGTCCCACCTGAAGAACAAACACAGCCTGACTCGGTAGCTGCACAAAGAAATGTAACTTGGACACTCAGAACTCACCGACACACAGAAAGATGGCTGTAATCACATCATCTGAGTGTTTATGTCGAACAAAAAGGTGCTCACATAAAGAAGTGGGTGGAGGCTAATTATATATAAGATGTTCCCCCTTTGTAAAATTACATAAGGAAGTTTGTTTTCAACTCAGAACAACAAAGTCTCACAATCTTTGAACTACAGTGCCATGTTCTCTTGGTCATCAGGTAGAAATGTTTCTTGTTTAACAAGTTAGAAGTTATCTTGTAAAATCATATTGACAGTTGTGAAAAGACAATTTAGAAAAAAAATCTGCCACTGCATAACCTTAGCCAATATTGTGTTCACTCCAAATGTCTACACAGGGATGGCCAATGTCAATTAAGTATCTGACCAAATGAAAATTCAACCAGATGATTCTGCTAGAAAAGTCAGGTGATCTTCAAACGTTATTATAGTTCATCCTCAGTGAATTGTAAACATCTATACATGTCATGGTAATCCATCGTACTTGCTGAGATATTAACTCAAAATCAAAACCCTCAACCTAATGGTAGTGTTAAATGAACCAAAGTCAATAGGAGTCATCCTCTGGGAACCATGAATGCTCGAGTCAAATTTCATGGCAATCCAACCAATAGTTGTTGAACTATTTCAGTCTGGACCACAGTTGTGGACCAACTGACTGACACTGCCACCCATAGAGCCACATGCTAATGAGGCAAACCTTTGGGTAAACATTGTTAACTTAAGAACATGCAGCATAATAAAGTACAATCACGTCAGCTGTAGGTGTATGTGTGTTGAAGGAGCGGTTGTGTGCTGTAGGAGTGGTGCAGTGTCATCATAACCCCACTAAAACAGTTTCAGTGGTGCACACAGGACAAATAGCCTACGAGGAAGGTAACATGTTCTAAAATCTCAGCAGGTCGTCATCCTCACAAATGCCTTCACCTGAGCTGACCTGCCGAAGTTCAGACCGACACCAGAAGAAACTCACTGATCTCCTCAGAATGTTTTGACTTTATATACTGTATATAGAGCGAGCGAAGTTGGTGGTTTTCCCATTCACTGCAGTACAGTCAGAGTTTTCTCACAGCAGCACCCAGTGGATATTGCAGCAGAATGCACATCAGCTCAGACTGGTTATAAATTACAACACCACTGATTGGTCTAAATGTGTCCACAATGGACAGACAAATTAACTCTACTGACCTCGTTGAAGATGGCCAAGTTCTCACACTGCAGGACTTTGGTCTTATGGGTGAAACCTGGAGGACAGACAGACAGATTGGTAACCATAGAAACAGTACTGATGCTTCAGACTGTTAGCAGTTAAATTAATCTAAACTAAACATAACCACAAACACCTGATAAAGGTGCAATATATGTCCATAAGTATGTGGACACTCAGTACAATGTAAAAGTACAAGATATATGGGGACTGGTACCTGAATAACCATCCTTGTCCCACATCATATTGATCATATACTGTGCAAACGTTTTAGGCACTTAAGATGTTTAGATTTTTATCCACCTCACAATACAGGGAGGCTGATGATTGGTTCCAAATTTATCCTACATTCTGACAAGGAGCCCAAACATCCAGCCAGAGTCATAAAGAACAAGGACTCCTGCAGAAGATGGTCTGGCCCCGACAGAGCCCTGATGTCAACATCACTGAGTCAGTCTGGCATCACATGAAGAGACAGGCGACACTGAGTCAGCCTGAATCCTCAGAAACACTGTGGCAGCTTCTTGAAGATGCTGGGAACAACTGACTTGCCAGGTACCCGAAAACACTGCATGCAGGTGCGCTGAGGAGAACTGGTGCTGGTTTAATGGCAAAGGGTGGTCACAGCAAGTACTGACTGATTTAGGCTTTGTTTACTGTACTTACTATGAAGATATTGGATAAATTTCGATAACTATTTATGGCATTATTTTTGAAAGCATCCTTGCTTTACTTTAAGCACTGAATAGAGCACTGTACACAACACAGCATACACCAAGTAAAAGCACGATCAACCACAGGCTGTAATAACAGCCTGTGCTCTTCTGGTTTCAGATTCTCCACCAGACTTTAGAACCCGGCTGCAGGATTTGTTCTCATCCAGCCACAACATCAGTGAGGTTCACTGCTGATGTAGGGCGATACGGTCTCACTAACTAGCCAAAGGTGTTGGGTGGAGTTGAGGCCAGGGCTCTGCGCACACAAAAACATTTTTTATCAACCTGACTTTGACAAAACATTTGAAGACACCATCTTTGACGCTAAAAAGTCAAAATGGGCATTTTTTTTCTAGTGTCTATGAATAAAGAGATAAATCAAATAATCAAGAAAATAATTTGTAGATTAATCAGTGACCCCTGCCTTTTTTTTTAATTTCCACTCATTTATTCAGGATATTTTTTCTTTGTCCCACATCTGTAGATACTAATGAATACTTTTGCATTTAAGTTACTTTGTCAATACATGACTTTTACTTTCAATGGATTTTTAGTGTTGTATTAATACTTTTACTTTCTATTTTCATATATTTATTTATTTATACATGCTGCCCCAGATAAAAGGTAAGGTGCAAGTGAAAAAAATATTTAAAACAGAGCAATATATACTCAGACATAAACCCCTGAAGCCAACAACAACCAACAAATGACACTTACGTAAAGGATCTGATTAATTTGTTACCTGTTGCAAGCAACTGTTGACACAAGGCAGGAAGCTCACTATTATCTGTAACGTCATTGTATGCTGTAGCGCTAAGAGTTCCTTAATTGTACTGACTCAACAGGCCAGTGTGAAAGCGAATAAAAGTATAAGGACAGGACATATAATGTAGGATAAGACATTATATCAGAGCAGAGGCCACAGACACACACACACAGGTTAGTGCGTGTTACTGACCTCTGAAGTTGAGTTCCACCTTTCTGTCATATCGTCCCGGCAGGTTGGAGATCCTCCTCAGGTTCACACTGATGGACATGATGATCCGTTACCTGGTAGCTGTTTGTGCACCTGTCCCTCTACATCATGTCTCTCTAAAGTCCTGTCTTCTCACTTCAGCAGCTGGAGACTAACTGCAGGGCGATGGGAGGTACAGGTGTATACGTGCGTGTATAACTGTACATAGAAGTATAGTGAGTACAGTGTGTGTGTGCATGTTAGGGCAGGTCCTTTTGAATGTTTGAAAAAGCAAATAGAGTTGCTCAACTAGTTTCCTTCTTAGAAGACGCGCACACAGTCCTCATCCCCTTCACTTCAGTGAAACAATGTAAAAGTACTCAGCCATTAACAGTTCTGCATTGAAAACCAAAAGCTTACTGAAGTTATTTGTGTTCACTGATGTTTCTCTGTTTAAAAATTTAAATGATGAAATCAACAACCAGGAAATACAGATACACTTAACTAAAAATTATTAAGTCAGATTTGGTTTAGTAAATTTCAGATTAATGCATCCCAGTTTTTAAAAATGTCTTTCATATTTTAAATTAGTTTTACAGAAGCTGTTTGTCAGTTGACAGAATATATATTGTTAACTACACTGATGATCATTGTTTCAATAAAAAAAACAAACTATACTGATGTCTTTACCATTACTTGGCTTCTGGTACATTTAAATTTCTCAAAGCAGTAATTTGGTATTTATGTACATTTTGCAACTTGCATATTTCAGTATCCACCATTTGTCTCCCTTTATGGATTTGTTCATAATTGGAGCAGCATCCTCCTCCTCATCCACCTGAGCTGCTGTATTTCTGTTGCTGCAGGCTGGTGTGTGTGTGTGTGTGTGTGTGTGTGTATGTATATGTATGTATGTATGTATGTGTGCGCGCACATGTTGACCCGCGACCCAGTCCCGGATAAGCAGAAGAAAATGGATGGATGGATAGATACTGATAATCGATTGTGTTTTCATGTAAAAATACCAAACATTTGTTGTCCCAGCTTCTCAAATATTCTAAAACAAGTTTGTAATTATTTTATTAATTACAATTACGAAGCTGGTCAGATAAGAATTGCAGCGATAATGACCGAGGCTAATGTCAGTCAAGTATTGTTATTGTCATTTTGGACTAATTATAATGTGAATTTCACAGTATTTGATGAATTTTTACAATCCAATCAATCAGTCAAGATAATAATTGGTTAGATTAAACCACAATCAAAATTGTTGGAGCCTGTTTCACTCACATGGCTGCATTAAACTCCCAGGAGCCTTTACTGATCCCCGCTGTATGTGTGCTGAGATTCTTCTTCAGTGGTGAAAATTTGACAAATCCAGTTTTGCTTTTACACGAGAAAAGGATTTGACACACTGATGAGTTGGAACACTACTCACCAAGTTCATAACTGGGATCTATTGAAATGAGGACTGTCTGGTCAAAGACACAAGCAGTCAGATGATGACTGGACAATAAAACTTATGGCAAAACCATGAAGAAAAAACAATACAAATTGGAATAATGCAGATCTATCCTGTAAACTACAGCAGCTCTCTCCACTAAAACACAAAAACATTTTTTCTTTCCCCAAGATCTTTTTATTAGTCTATTATAACAGGCTGTGCTCATACATAGTGATATTACTGGTTTAGTTATACTGAGTAGATGTCAGCTACTGGTCACATGATACTGTAAATCAATCCATTTAACAGAGTGCAGAAGAACAGGTTGAGACAGATGGCAGCGCTATGGAGCAAAGCACATCCTACTGCAGTTCTTCACCAAGATCAGCCGTCTTCTTTTTATCATTTCACGATACATTTTTGCCCCTGTGATGGTTTGACGGACAAATGTGTCCAAAATTCCCCCTTTACATCATCATGTGACCACGCAGCTGCCATTACATGGACAATACAGAATGTTTGATAAACTTAGATCAAATTTCCACCATGATTTTCTAAGAACATTCTCTTTAAAGTCGGCTTAAAACAAACAAAAAATAATAATCTAAAATGTGAAGCTGCTTTAAACCACATGTTAAGTTTCTCTTGAACTAGGAAACTTACATAAAACAAGTTCTTGGCAACAAAGAAGAAAAACATCATGATAAACACTCAGAATTTGCTCCTTTCTGGCACCAAAACAGCACATACACAGTAAAGTCTGAACTCATGCTCCTCTTAATTAGCTTTTCCCAGAGTTTTGAAGTGCGTCTCTTTGTCTTCAGATTCACCTGCTGATGAATATTTGATCGGTCAAACTCTGGAGTCCGTGATCAAACTAATTCTCCAGCCTCGGAAATCTGTCACTAAAAAAAAAACAAAAAACCTTTTTCTGTAGATCAATGTGTGTAAGTTTTGCAATTTTACATGAATGTGCTTTCAAACTTGGTCCAAAAACAGCCAAGCACAGTCTGACACAGCAGACACCGTTGGCACTACAGAGGCAGACAAACTGCTGGAAACATAAAACACTACTTTAAAGACATGCAAACGATATGTTTAAGAAGATGCTGTGGCGAGTGCAAGGACAGTGAGAGAGGTTAATGTCAGCTACATGTCTAATAAGCCCTTGTTTAATACACACCTTTATGGAGTGCCATTGTCAATCCCTGAGCCATACTACTTCTGCAGCTCATCTTTACAATCCTACCCATGCTACGTTCTGTCCTCTCCTGCTTCTGGCCACACCACACCAGTTAATGTTGCCGGGTGAACTTTGGTCTGACCGCAGCGTTACACAGGCTGTTCCCAAATGTGAAGAATGAACTTCTTTTCTCAAGGTAAAACAAATCTCAGTGCTTTCAACATTAAACAATACAAATATCCAACATTAACAACAACAACAACAAAAAAAGCCCCAAACAGTTCCTAATAACTGGACAAAAACATGAAAGTTACTTTTTATCCTATCTGAAACGTTTCCTGTTAATGCTGTCATGTCAACATTCAGAGCACAAGGAACTTAAATGGTTTAAAGGATACAAACTTAATTACAAGTGTGTCTTCCTTGTGGCTTTGGGGTTAAAACGCTGAACACAAACTGGTCAAGCTTCTTTGTATGTTCATTATTCTATTCACATCTCGATTATCTGTAATAAGGCACAAAACAAACTCATTTTAAGTAACTTTTAGTGCTTACAGATGAAGCGTGGCAGCAGTGTATTTAAACAACATTAACGGCAGCTTTGCTGCAGTGAAGTTATGACACATTTTAAGATTTGTTTGTGTGTTTAGGCCATTCCAGTATCCCAGGTGGGACGGGCTACTGAAATCAGGAGATAGTCTTTGGCACATAAACCGAACAGATGCGTGATGCTGCGTTCGGGTCATCGTGGTTAGGACTCCCAATTGCTCATATCAGTGGACAGCTGAAAATGTCAACCAGCACCGTCCTTAATTACAAGTGTTCAAACTCCGTGTGGAGTAAATTTCACCTGCTGGGCTGCACCGTCAACCAGCGTACTGGAGCAGCTAACACAGTAACTGTGTATTTATGTAGGAGCTGAGACGCTGGAGGGAAAATCAAAGAAAGAACTGGAATTCCTGGTGAGTACAGAGAATAATCTCTTTTCTTTGCCCTTTTGTCTCTGAATGTCAATAAGAGATTCATAAAACACAAAAGATTTAGTCCCAGTTTAAAACTAAGGATCAAATCCTCACATTTGAAAATCTAAATATGTGATTATCAAAATGTGCTGATACAAGTTTTTGCAGTTCTAATCTACTGTCATGTGAGTAAAACAGCTCATAATCAAAATGGGTATTCCCGTTTGTTTACTTTTCAGAGAATAAACTATTTAACGACACCTAGGACAATGTCTCACTTGGATGCCGACAGTGGTCACGGTAACTTCCACACAAAGCGAACACAGCCTGCAGTGACGTCGCTGTGCTGCTCAGATGGCCATGTTGGCTCCCAGCGCATGTTTAAATGCACCTTTAACGGTGTGATAATGATATGTTTACTGTATGTCACACTGTGCAGGATGGTTAAGATAACATCCTGGTTCATAATCTGTGTCAGACGGATATCAATCTGTGTATTGTTACACTTCTAATCAAACAGAAAAACAGCAGCAGAAAGCAGAGACACGTCATGAACAATCAGCACGATTTGGCCGTCACGATGACACGTCTGGGGATTGAAAAGCCACAACAGAGGAGGGCAAACTCAGCCGTGGCTACTAGGGAAAAGTTGGCCGGTGTATTCTGAAACATTTCATGTTGTTGGACTTGCAGATGTGGGTCACAGCAGCAGCCACAATGAAAACTTGATTCAAACTTTGACACTCTCTAAATTTTGCCGCACACTGTTTTTTTCTGCTAAATCCACAAAGCCTCACAGGGCAATGTGGGACTGCCCATTGGCACCAACAACCAAAAACCTTTTCCATGTTTCAGTCAACCACATTTGCACAGTGTAAAGGGGCTTTAAGTCTAAGGGGCGTTTCTGTCAGGGAGTTTATTTAACAAGGCACTTGACAGACACGTCATCTACATGTCAACATTGACTAACTAATGTAGTATAATCAGAACGACATGACTTGGCTGGCGATGTCCATTTTTGAATTTAATCCAAGCTGTGAACGGAGATGACCCGTCTGCAGATGGATACTACAGCGCTGTCAGCCAAACCTTCATGAAGTTTAACTATAATCATCAAGTCAGCTGATAAGAGATTACCTGTGCACTATGCTGACATCATGTACTGGATGTTGCAGGTAATGAGATTTAGAGTTGTGACATTTCAGAAAACACAGGTAGATGGTAGAAAGTGCTGCACTGGGAACCAAGATGGCGTCGCTGAGTCGAGACAGAAGAGTCTAAAGCAGCGTCACACCGACTACATTAAGGTCTACAGTAAGGCTATAGTAGTAAAGCTATGTTAAATAGTACGTAAGTCATTCATAACAACACTTTCTAGCAATATGTGTATAAGCAAAGTGCCAAGTATTGATACCTGATTAATAAAGCTAATCAGAGCCATGCGCACACACAGAGCTGGAGCAGGTTGTGTAGCTGCACCATGATAACATGAAATAACTGGTCATGGTGACACGCTTGTAGCAGCAGCTCTTCAGATGTCCACTAGATGATACTGTAATAAAACTCTGTCTGTGATGAACCTGTATTGAAGTGAATAGGAAAACAATACAGATGAACATTTACCTTCTTCTGTTACTATAAAGGCAACAGAACGGGGACACAAACTTATTCTGTGTGTATGGCTCTGTGATTAGTAAAGGCATGTTAGTAAACAGGAGATCTGCATAGTTAGAGTAGAAGCAAGCTACATAATCAATATAATCAATACCACTGGCTTAAGGCTGAATGTAGCAGTGAATGCTGCAGTGTGACACATCAGGTTGGTCTATGAAGGGGGGTGGTCTGTACCAGGAATGAGATCAGTGCGGGTCATCAGCTTTTAAGGATGGGTCTGGGGAGGGCAGGTGAATGGGTTTAGGGTTTGGGGGCAGCCTTAGGTGGATCAATGCCTCTCATCCTGAAATAAGAGACCAGCTGGTTGGGGACCTCAGCGAGGACAGCCTGACCCAGAGCCGCCTTGGAAGCCTGAGGAGAGAGACCGAGATGTCATGTTAAAGAGTTTATCTGGTGGCCTTAAAGAATAAGTCTGGGCGGGTGGCAGAAGCCTTATGGTTAAAGGGTACACCACATAACTGCAACATCCAGAGATCGACTGCCAGCCTAATCATGCATACATGTGAGGATGACAAAGGTGGTGCCCATAATTATTCCTCCTATTCGTTTTGGCCATGAAGAATTCCCATCCTAACATGACTCCGGTGGAAGCCATGGGGGCAAAATTCAGTCCTTGCACTCTGGTGCTGCAGAAACCAACTTAACACTGGCATTACCAACTGGTCTGGGAACTGTTTAGCCAGAGAGTGCTGTGCTATCTGATCCACACACCCCACTCTACAAGCCTTGGAGGGTGCAAACCTAGAGAAAGTAAAATGATGAAGAATCCTAAGTTCACTTACAACTTTACATTCTTTTTTGCTATGTGGAAATAACTGGTAAATGACCACAAATGATGAAGATTCAAGTAACGCTTTCTTAAAAGAAGCACTGTGAAGGTGATAGTAGTGTGCATATGCACTCAGTTGGCAGTTTATTAGGTACACAAGATTTAGTGCAGGACTGTTGGATTAGACTGCACTGGGTTTTAGCTACTGTAGTTGTATCTAGTCAAGTGCCAACCCAGTGTACTTTTCACTTTTTTGTGACGTACTGTATCACACCTGCAGATTTCTGGATGTGAATGTGCATCTTGATTTCACAGGACTGATATCTGATTATTTTGTGCCCAGCTAGAGGCAGCAAATAAGAAAAGCTGGATGGCATCAGTGCCAGAGCAGATGTTTTAACAACTACCAACCAGATCTTTAGTGAAATCTGGTCTCACAGTTCCTGAACCTTCCATTTGTCTTCTAGTTCAGCACAGCGGCTATGGACAGCACATTACTGAGTCTACACTTTCAGTTGTTATCTATAAACACACACACAGCCTTACATCTTTGAACTTTTTGTATGGGACAAACTGGACGATGTCTCTGGCCACGGGCTGCCCTGTTGTCGACTTCAGCTTGCCATCGTCTCCATCCAGAAGCTCCATGGCCTTAAAGTCCGCTGGCCCCACCCCCACAATAATGATTGAGAGAGGCAGCTGCGATGCCCGAACAATGGCGTCCCGGGTCTGGTCGAAGTCAGTGATCTCACCGTCAGTGAGGATGAGGAGGATGAAATACTGCTGCAGAAACACAGATATAGCTCAAACAAAGTCTGAGCGTGTGTTTGTAGTTAATTATTTAGTGTGTTTGTGTGCATGCCCTCACAGAGGCAGTGTTGGTCTGTGCGGAATTGGAGGCGATAGAAGCAACATGGTTGATGATGGGGGAGAAGTTTGTGGGTCCAGAGAGTCGAAGCTGAGGCAAAACCATCCTATAGGCTTCAACTATCCCCTGAATACCTGGAAGAGACAGAGGGAAGCAGTGTATAGATTTATATTTAATGCACAGTTGAAATGATACAGGATATCTGACTATGATCAATTGTTAGGAACCGAAAGCCTTGTATTTTGTAAAAATTCTCTACAATCTGCTTCAGTTTCATGAGAAAAATAGAAAAACTGGATTGTTTATGAGTCTGTTTGTGCTTCTGCTGCGTGTTCCCATAGCGAGACGGTCGTATGAAATAGACACCTCCAAACTTCATTAACGCTACAACACAGCTGTCATAAATAAACTCCAATGTTAGCTTGCTGTTATTACAATGATTAAATCCATTTTCAGCTGCAGTCATTGGAGAACAATCTGCAAAAGAAAAAGATTTGTGGAGCAGGCCTTTGTTTCTTCCTCCCCATTAATTCTCTCATAACTTGTCAGATTTATCTTGCAAACTTTTACCAAAGATTTTGAATAAAAGGAAGTTTACTGAGTGAGAGTGTGTGTGTGTGTGTGTACCTTGGCAGAAGGGGTTAGTGGGGTTGAAGTTGATGGCGAACTCATGGTGAGCAGCCTGTAGAATCAAACATAAGGAATTCAAGAAACCTGATTGGCTCCTCAGAAAACTAGTGTGGGCATTTCAACTTTCACATTATTCAGTTCATCCAAATGACCAAATTATAAAATCATTTAAAACCTCAGAGTGTCACACTAGAGAGACCAACAATAGTCTGTAGCAAAGAGTGTTGCAGTTGGTTGGTTGGTTGGTTAGAAAGCTGACCTGGTAATCTGGAGGCAGTTTGGCCCCAAAACCGAATGCTGGGAAGAGTTTATCACTGAAATAGAAAACACAAACCAACTGATGTCACAGCACAAAATCAGATTAGTGTGGAGAGTATAAGGTGCAGAATACAGAGCATTGGATATAAGGCGCATGGTTCAGGGAGTAGGTTGCAGGGTTTAGGTATTAGGGTGTAGAGATTGGTTGTAGGAACTAATGTCTAGGTTGTACAATTCAAAGTCTTGGTGTAGAGCTTGTGTTTGTATGGTTTACAGTTTGGCGTATAGGATGTGGCATGTGGTCTATACAAAGAGTTAAAGAAGAATTTAGGATACAGAGATCAGGGTAGAGTTTAGGGTGTGAGGAGTAAAGTTACAGCTGTGGGGTTAAGTGTGCAGACTATCAGGTTTGGGGTGTAGGAACAACAGTTACAAGGTGTGGGGTTTAGGGTTAAGGGTGTAGGCCATGTGTCAGCATATCTCACGGTTTGGTGTAAATAGCTTTTTAGGTGTAGGTTGCGTGCACACATGCACTCACGTGTCATAGTCCTGGACCACTTGACCCACAGACCACAGAGCAGACAGGTATTCGTTCAGCCCGTCTGGACTCAAGTAGTGGAGGGACTGGGGTGAGCGAGGATCACCGTTAGAGCCGGTGAAGTCGATCCCCACCTACAGTGTTCACACAACAATCATTCATAAATCTACAGGTTTTCATTCATTATTCAAATCCAATGTCTATATCTTAACTTAGTTAGCCAGCATATAACTTGTGTTAACAGTACAATTAACAGGTTATAATAAAAAAAGTCTGTTAGGATCAACTATCTCTATCAAAAGATGATAACATTTTGCAATCTCTCAAAATATTTGAATCCTGTATACTTGAACATTACCATTTCAAATAAAGTACTTAAAATGTTGACTTACAGTGAAGCTGATCTGGCAGCCGCCCATCACATAGTCTAGGAAGGTGTACTGAGTCTCCAGCTGTGCACACGCAGACAGACACAGTGTAAATGTAAATGACGGATGTCGTGTGTACTGCACAATACACAAGAAATGAAATTACACAAGTCAGTAGAAAATCGATTTCAAGTGTTACCATTCATGGTACCTGCTGACTGTTCCCCCCACTGACAGACAGATGCATTTACAACATCTGGCTAAAACGTGTCTTAAACAGATTATTCTCTGACGTGTCTTGGTTGCATTTACATTTGATTCTTTGAGATCAGAGACCTATCCAATCAGCCTGAAAACACAAAAGTGGTCAAGTGTAGAGGTGGTCTAAACACAAATCCTCAATAAAAGATGGTCTTTGGTTTCTCTAAATGAAGAGTAATCTCCACAAAAAGATGTTCAAACCACACAAAACCTCTTGTGAAATAGTTAGAATCCAGGGGTTATGGGTATTTGCTGTTGTTGGGCCTAAACTGTGGAACAGTTGGCTTCTCACTGATCTGCCTCTCATTAAAATTCATCTAATGTCCAAACACTTGCCTTTGGCCCTAATAGTTATGTTTGTTTGTTTTTATTTGTTGTCTGTGCATTTCTGTTTTAATTCTACACTACAGATATTCTACACTTTATTTATATCCTTTAAATTTTTATTTCACTGTAATCATCAAATAATTTCATAAAATTACCTAATCTCTGTAAAGTACTTTGTTCAGAATTTGTTTTAAATGTGCTCTTTTTGCAACTTAAGAGGTTCTTTTGCTGTTTTTAATTTCACGTTTTACAAAGCAGTGACTCCCAGCAGGGTGTTCTGGGTAATGTTGTCTCCACCTTGCAGCTCTTCACAGAGACAACACCAGAGTTCTTGTAGCTCTTCTTCTTCTTCTGTTTGTCAGGGTGGATGCAGTCAAATGCCACCTGAAGTACAACAAATAACACAGTTCAATGACCTCTAACCTCGAGGCAGCCAATAGAAAGAAGTCAAATGTTTTATTGTCAGTAAACTCACAGGAGAACCTTGCCCAGCTTTCAAAAGATCAGAGACTTTAGTGGTGAAAGAGCCGATCAAATCATGAGTCCCGTCACTGTCATAATCAGAACAATCCACCTGCAGGAAGAGGAGGAGATTTGATGAATCTGATTGGTTGTTATGACTGAAGGCGGATTCTCACTGGTCGTTTTGAATCGAGGTGGATTCTGATTGGTTGAACCTTCAGCGGTCTGTCGAGATTGCTGGAGCAGAATGTCTGCAGAGGAACGGAGAACTTCTTCCAGGTGGGATTCAGATTGTTCTTCACCACCTACAAACACACAGACCACCATCATCATCACCATTGTCTCTATCACAATGACATTATCTTCTGTGTGTGTGCTCTTGTATGCCTCTTTGTGAGGACTGATTAGAGTTATGGACTTTGAAAGGGAAGATATTTTGTCTGGCCCTCACTTCCTCATTTCACTGTCACTGGGATTATTTCAGAGCATCTGCTCATCAGCACATTTATCATGTAATTTAGAGTTTCTTTCCAGACATGTTTTGTGCCTAACAAATATTAATATACGTTTGCAACTCAGTTGAATGAGATAACATGTTTTGTGTCTATACTTGAATATGCCAACTTTTTTTGAACTCAGGTGCGATAAACCAGTGTTTTGACAGGGGGGCAAACACTTGTTCACACAGGGCTATATAGTTTTGGATTTTGTTTTCCCTTAATAATAAAAACCTTCATTTAAAAACTGCATGATGTGTTTACTTGTGTTATCTTTGACTAATATATAAATTTGTTTGACGATCTGAAACATTACAGTGTGACAAACATGCAAAAAGATAAGAAATCAGTAAGGGGCAAACACTTTTTCACACCACTGTACTTCAGCTCTATTGTGTCATCAGCAGCATAGTTTAGGGCTTATTTCATGCAGAAAACCCATAAAATAATGAAAAAAGGGACCCTGAGAAAAGAAAATAGTACTAAAAGTAAGAGGAATGAGTATGCTTGTGTGTGTACCTCTGTTCTGTAGACCAGCTGCCACTTTCCATCATCTCCTTGTTTAAAAAACTCCAGAAAGGGATCAGACTTCCCAAACGTATCCTGAATAGACAAAAGACAACATGCTGCCATCTCATTCACAGCATTTACATGCACTTAAGTAACTGGGTTACTTAAAAAAAATATACAACACAACTGTATGACCTTTCAGTTTCCTTTAGGAACTCCATTACTGAGCTCGCAATGGCTGATTTTTGACTGAAAAGTGTTGGATGACTGTAAGACAGATGCATTCGGTGCCTCCTTTTTCTAAAAAGCCGCTCTGCGCTCTGCCCAATATCCCCCCGTTCCCGCTCCCTGCTTGCTTGCACTCTGCTCCGCTCACATGCTCTGTTTAGCACACATCTCAGAGAAATCTGTTTAGTGACATGCTGTACGTATACATTTAATTCCACCAGCGATGTAACCTGATTTTTCTGAGTAACCTGCATGTAAATGAACTGATTCTTAAACAATACAGAGAAGGGAAAGACAAATAAGCTGCACGATCTATTCACAAGTAAAAACATGGCCAAGAGAAGATTTACTCATTCTTAAGCATTTCTACAAAATATTTACATCCAGTAACTACAGGAGGAATTGTTGACTGAACCATTTATGTGAATCTAAATAAAACAGACCTCTGAGCTTTTCTCAGCCAGGATCAGTAACTCCCTAAAGTCTCTGCTGGCTGCCTTGCAACAGCTGTGAGCCAACAGTCAAGCACACAACCACCAGATGGATGGTTTCACACTGGCATTTTTATGGATCAAACAAGACATTTCATACCAGAGCCAGACTGGTGGTTTTCCCATTCCCCGTGCCAAGCTCGGGTAACCAGCTGCTAGCTGTTGCTTCATATTTACAGTACAGATATGAGAGTGACATTCATCTTCTAACTCTGCCAGAAAATGCATCTAAAATGAAAAACTTTGGCTTTAAGTTCTAGTGCAACCTGAAATAGTAGATCTCTAGTTATTATTTATCCAGTTATTAGTTACTGAGATCTAAGGTAGGACATTACACACGACTGGAATGGAGTAATGAGGAACTAGTGAAACAGTCTTGAAGAGGAAGATAAGAAAGAAGAAGATGAAGAAATGTCGGAAGCCGAGAAGGAGGAGCAGTCACCTTCTTGTCAAGGCCTTTAGCCTCCATCTCCAGTACAATGGCTCTGTTGTCCTTTACCTCCTCTGCAGTGACCTACGCAATCACAAACGCAGTCTTCATTTGATATTCACATTAATCTGAGTATTGCTTTGATCAGATTCTCCATGGATACAAAGTAATTTGACATTTATCTGAATACAGCAGAAAGTTCGGGCACAACTTCGCTCACTGTCAAGGTGCACAGACAAGGAAAAACCAACCAGAAAACAAAAAGTCCAACATGAAGTCTTCTTCAGGGACCGTTAAGGGTACACAACAAAGAGTCCTATAAATAATACAAATATTTAAAAAAATGTAATAACCAAAAACCAAATCACATACAAGCTGGTCATGTGGTGTCATGACCATGTACCTAACCCACTTATGTGCATGTTCTTTATTGGCTTGATTATTTTTAAGGTTTTCTTTTAAATTTTGTATTATTTATAGGACACTGAGGTGTGCCTTTAACAGACGATGAAGAAGGCTTCATGCCGAGACACGTTGGTCTTATCATTAAAGTTGTTTAAAACACTGCAGGTGTTGCTGGACTTTTTGTTTTCCACATTTATTTTAAGACCAATACGTTGGTGAGAAATTAAAATATAAATATTCAAAAGAACTATTTTTAATTGCCATCAGGGTTCTTTGCAACCTCACACACACACACACACACACACACACACACACAATACATACAGTGATGGTGCCTTTCCCTGCAGGCTTGTTCTTCTTTAGCTGCAAAGGCCTGGTCACAGTTTTACTGGACACTATCTGAAAGTCAAACAGAGGAAAGGTTTTTCTACAGCTAAATCCATGAAAACAGACTCCTGTCCTGCATCAGTACTGTGCAGCAAAAGTGCTTTGGACGAAAGCGCTATATAAATGCAATGCATTTAACAGAGACAGAGCTGCATTTACAGTTTGTCCAGTAGAGGAAATATGAACTTCACTGTGATTCTGAGAAATATCTCTGCCTCTAAAATGTTCATTGTGTGTTTCTGTAAAAACTGACAATGCAATGACAACTCATTATCAGTTTCACTCTTCACTGTTAATACCTGCCTCAAACAATCCAGCCAATGAGGTGAGAGCAGACACATTACAGAGGGTTATAACTTCATATGACCTCCAGAAGAGGAAATCAGATAATTAGTTCAGTCATTTTTAAATTAAAATGCCACATACTCTCGAACTTCAGCTTCTCGTATGTGAGGATTTGTTGCTTTTCTTTGTCATGTGATGATAAACTGAATATCTTTGAGTTACAGACTTTTGTCAGTTAAAACAAAGGGTCATCTTTGACTAATGGTCAGATTAATCAGTCAGGAAAATAATGGCCAGCTACAGAGCTAATCTATCATTAAAGAACCTATAGGAACATTTATCAAAGAAAGTCAAGTGCTATGTTGTAATGTAAAGTTTTCTTTCAACATATTTCTGTGAAACTGACAATGTAAAAGGTGATGAGGCTGAATCAAAAGGTTATGACCGATGTTTACCAGATTTAGAATCGTGATTTCTAAATAAAAATTGGGAATTTTAATAAAAATCTACTGAAAAACTCCTAATGCTATTTCAGCATGGACCAAAGTGACTGACTAATGCAAAGTAAAATTGTCTCAAAGTATTTTTCAGTCACAGGAGAGTTAAACAACAAAAAGCATCCGTTTCTACTGAACCGGATCAATGAGGAAAAAACTGTTAGTTAAACCTGGTCTGGTGTGTACCTGTCCCAGTGTTAGCTCCACCCCTCCCAGGTAGTCATCATCCTTCACATCAACAGTGGCGTTGTCAATGTCGTAGACACCCAGCTTCAGATTCTGAACTGTCTCAAAGTTATAATCCAGTTTGATGCGTTGACTGAAGGACGGACTGGAGGAGTTCTTTATCTGCTCAGTACGACCGAGCTGACAGAAAGACAGAGGGTGTTTTTTTTATTTATCTCACATAAAATCAAAATAAATAATCAAAGCAAATGCTGTGTCTCTTGTAGTGTAACTGCCACGTTACCTCGGCCCATGTGTCTCCTCCAGTATTCTGCAGCAGCACGCACAGAGGGTCTGACTTCGATCCGACATCTTTATCCAGCAGGTTGGCGCAGGAGATGGTCAGCTCCACCTTAGAGACACAGTCCACCATCTGAGGGGGGACAGAGAGAGACCTTCAGCTCAGGATGCAAAAAAAAGACTTAAGTATCACGACACATTTGTAAAGTTGGTCACATTAAAGCCTGAAGTGTAAGATTCATTGGTTTGGAAACTGTTCAAAAGCAGGAATTACCCAGATACAAATTCTCAGTTGTGAGTATTTGTTGCTTTTCTTTGTCTTAAACTGGATGTTTCTGGGTTCTGGGGTGTTCTGTCATTAACAAGCAAAGAAATATTTTCTTTGTTGATCATTCTACCATATATAATTTCATGTACTACTGACTCTTCTCATTTAAATCGTCTCTCAAATCAATGCGTGGTCCATCTCATCTTGATCTACACGCAGAAACATAAAGCTACAAAGCCTGTGGTCAGAACAGTGGAGAGATGGACTAAGCAAGACAAGTCAGAACTACATGGCTGCTTTGAATGCACACACCAGAGGATTTTTGAAGCTGCAGCAACAGAATTAGATGAACTCACTGACACTGTGACATCATACATCAGCTTTTGTGAGGACGTGTGTGCCCACCAAGACATTCTGCACAAACAACAACAATAAGCACTGGTTCACAGTAAAACTGAAGGAACTTCATCATGCCAAAGAAGAGGCCTACAGAAGTGGGGACAGGATCCTGTACAGGAAGGCCAGGAACACACTGACAAGGGAAACAAGAGAGGCAGCAAAGAGGAGCAACTCTGAAAAGCTGAAGAACCGGTTTTCAGGCAGCAACCCCTCATCTGTGTAGAGAAACCTGAAAAACATCACTAGCTAGAGGAAACCACACACACACTCAACCCGGCTGTGGAAGACCATCAACTGTCAGATGACCTGAATGTGTTTTTTACTCTAGATTTGGGAAGCAGAACTCCCCCCTCACCCACCTCATCTGCGCCCCTCACAGTCACCTCCCTTTCCCCCTGAACACCTGTGAAAAGGATGTGCATGGCCTTTTTAAAAATCAAAAAAAATCAGAAAGGCACCAGGCCCAGATGGTGTGACCCCATCTTTCCTAAAAGCCTGTGCTGATCAGCTGGCCTCCTTCTTCACATATACTCCTGAAGTTCATAGACAACACAACGGCCATCTGCATACAGGCAGGAGGCACAGCAGAGGATGTACTTCCTGCGCCGGCTCAAGAGGTTCAACCTGCCCCAGGAGCTGTTCATACAGTTCTACAGAGGAAACAGTCTGTTCTCTGCTCATCCATCAGTATGGTTTGGCTCAGCAACCAAGCAGGCAGGAACAGACTCCAGCGGAGAGTCAGGACTGCAGAAAAGATCATTGGTGCCAGCCTGCCCTCCATGGAGGACCTGTACAATGCATAGCTCAAAAGAAGAGCAGAGAAGATTTGTGCTGACCCCTCACATCTTGGACACAAATTGTTTGAAGTCCTCCCCTCTGGACGGCGCTACAGGTCACTGTGCACCAAGACAACCAGACACAATGACAGTTTCTTCTACCGGCCATCACACTGATGACCACTTAATCCATGCACTGTATGACTGGTCACCATGGTGCAATAAACTGTAAATATAACCATTGTATGTATCCGTATGAAAGCCCTTCTACCATAATGTATATATATATATAAATGTATTTACAAATACTGTCTTTTACTCTCATTCTTTCCAATTTTTGATTGCACCTATTTGAATGAACACATTGTTTTATATAACTTTCACTGTTATTTTCTGTTTCATCTCACCTACAAACACATTGAGAGACTCTGCAATGGAGTCAAATTCTTTGTATGTTCATACATACTTGGCCAGATGATTCTGATCAGAATTGGAAGATACCATCTTAGATGACAGTGGAGTGAGGAAAGATAAAGTGAATTGGTATCTTCCAGCTTCTGACTGACTGAACACACCTGAGCCAGGTAATCAACAGGTCAGGCAGGATAGTTGGAAACCAAGCAGGACAGCAGCCCTCGAGGACTGGAACTGGCCACTCCTGGTCTAACCCAAACCCTTATCCCAATTCTATACTTAACCCAAAGCCAAGCCTTAACCTTTAAAAAAAGGCCTATGACGTTTTGACTGAAATGTCCTCACAACCATAGTACTGAACAAGAAAACTGTGCATGCACTGTAATTCACAACCATAGTACTGAACAAGAAAACGGTGCACTGTAATAAAGACAAGCACGCACATACACACACAACTACTTGCTTTGGCACATCGTGAGGACTACTGACACACACCTCCACCTCCTTGTTTCCCCTTACGAGGGGTCTCATGGACTTACATTACTTCTTGGAGAGCTAACCTAACCATAACGGTAACACACAGACACACACATAGCATTGCGTCAGTGTTAACCGGCCTATGCAAATCACCTTATCAGAGCGGTCGTTTAATCTTCTTCAGACACGGAAAAAAACACCAAGGCGGCGGACAACTCCCAGTCCAGAACAGGAAACGACACCTTTTCAGTCAAAGTAAGCACAACTGAGAGCGTTCTAACCTTGATCTGGGCACTATGTTAGATTTAACATAAAAGTTTATCCCAGATAGAGTTTGAATTCTAATTATAAATGAGACACACCACTACCGTTCGTCAGCCTTCAACAGCTTTCGCTAATAAGGAAGAGCAGAGCAGACACACAGACTGTACTGTGATTGGATAGCTGCACAACTGTATTTTTATTGGACAAGACGACTGTCTGTCAGGCCCTCGAGCAACTAGGTGAAGCTCTGTAATTCAACACTTCCGTACATACTCCTTCAGAATAAAAGCGGCATTACAACAAACCTGAAATGATGTATTATGAATCACAAAGAAGCTGTATTCCTCACAGCACAATTGGCTCTTGCTTAATAAATCAGATTGAGGTGGGTGCTACTTTTAAAAGGAAAAATGGTCGTTTATAAAATATAGTGTTTACCAAATAACCCATTCACTGATCCTTAACACACAAAAGGTCAAAAAGTGACATATTAATCAGAATCAGCTTTATTGGCCAGGCGTTGAACACACAGGGAATTAGACTCTGGTACAGTGGCTCTCAATATGCATGTACAATGTTTTTCGATAAGGCAACAAATAAACAAGACAAGTCTGAGAGAAGAATATTAAGTGTGCACTTTACAGGTCATTTGTATTGCTAATTTATGACATGCATCACAGCACCCCTGCTCAGCACTTGAGCACCAAACTAGGCACCAAGAGTTAAATATATAGGCTATATTTAAATAATTTTATATAGGGGAGTGACATGAGTATAAGGACAGTGAGGAAAAGAAAGACCACTACAATCTATGAACCACACACATCAGCATAGCTATAACTTATTTAATTAGCTTGTGAATTAAAACAGCTGTCTACAGAGCAAAGCAAGTTGCCTGGTGCATTAAGAAAGTCACAAAAAGTAGAGAGCACAAAAGTAAGAAAAGGTCTAAAGGAAGTAGGATCAGACAGGCAGATTACTTTTTTAAAATGATCTAATTAAAGTTCGTGGTCTCTCCAGTTTTTCATTGTAATCTCACAAAACTGAAATTGCTCTCTCCTGTTTAAAGATCTTAAGTCTTTAATCCATAATACATAACACTCAGCTGTGATCACAATCTCCAGAAAAAGCCAGAGTAGACTTTTAGTCCAGCATATTAAAAAGTACATTTCTGTGCTTTTATGTTGAAGAGCAGGCACTCATTCCGGAAGTGCTGCTCCAGCAGCAAAAAACAAAACAAAACAGTGGATCGAGAGGAACCACTAAATTCAGTGAAAGTCCATACTTGAGAGGAACTGTAAAAGGGAAACTGCATGCTATTTAAATGTTCTGCTTTTATTATTTGATATACTCAGATAACTGTTTTATAAATATATTACCATTTTAAAATTATTTTAGAAGTAAGTAGTCGCATAAATACTTTAAAACACACAGGGCCTATCTACACTGCATCTGCTCTCCTGCATTTACCCCGGTGAACAACTCTAAAAATTGGCCCTGGACTTTCACATGCACCTTCTACTGGTGAACAGCTACAATCTAAACGCTACAGTACCATGTACAGGCCAGCACCCATTATTTAATGCTACCATTTATAGACTGTTATTTACAAGCCATCCATTTACAGCCATCTACATACTATCATCTATACACTGCAATCTATAGGCCACCAGCTGTGGGCGACCACCCTACTATTCACCAGTACTATCGTCTACATATCGCTATCTACCATTTACAGGATACCATCTCCAGACTACCTTTCACTGACTGAACATGACCATAAAAGCCACACCAAATAACATGCAGAATTTACTGCCATTATCTACAGGTTAGCATCTATCAGCAAGACATCACTGTAAATAATCGATTTGCCTCTAAGGTGATTCTAAGGTTTTTTAATAATGATGGTCTACAAACAAGGGAACATTTACAGGCTGTTGTTGATACAATATCTGTCACTTTGATTTGCATAAAGCATCTTATTAACAGCTCAGTTAATCATCTCTCTCTCTCACACACACACACACACACACATATACACAGTTCGACATCCTGTGTATAGACTAACTCTGTGGTCACAGTTTTTGTTTTATTCAACCCACCCCACCCCCACATACACACACACCTGGTCCATGACACACACTGCGGTGTTTCACTTCACTTTATTAAAGTCTGTTTATCCATTTCTTACACACATGCACACACACATGCACAAACATGCTGAAACACTGCATACATCCAATTCAACATTCTCATCAGAATACCTGTTTGGAGGATAAGCACATCCTGAAAGCAGCAGATGGTTCCTCTTCAGACAAAACTACTTCCACTGATGCTTTTTGACTAGTTGAGTAGTACAAAATTCATATAAAAGATTTCATGTGTGCACTACACAGAAATAACTAAGGCTTCCTTTTAAATCTGCAACATGAAGCATATCACAGAAGCTGAGAGCAAGCTGAGGTGACTAATCCGACTTAGTCCACAGGTTTTAATATCAAAACTTGTTTTATCTTTGTCATGTTTTGTGGTAGTTAGTTGTTTAAAGACAAACATGGGTTAAGACTCGGATGTTTTACGGTGTGGGAATAAAGTTGCATTCTGTACAGTCTTTTTCCATCTCTCTCCTGTTATTTTGTCCCCTCTGTTCTCAGGTGAAGGAAGAGGAAAGGTTATGAATCCCATTTGGATAGAATATGACAGGCAAAACACGCTATTCAGATCACATTTCTCCAGACAACAATTAAACTATGTTTACTGCATTTATATCCGTACAAACCTTGGTATGAGCCTCACTTATCTACAGACAGGTAGATAAGCTTAAAGAAAAACCCTGAATAAATGAGTGGTCTTTTCCAGGACGACAGTGCCCCCATCCATAGGGCACGAGCGGTCACTGAATGGATTGATGAGTATAAAAATGAAGACTCACATACTGTGGCCTTCACAGTCACCAGGTCTCAACCAAGCTGACCACCTATGGGAGATGTTGGACCAACGTGTTTGACACCACCACATAATTAGAAATTAGGGGATATCTTTTGGAAGAATGGCGCTCATTCCTCTGGTAGAGCTCAGAGACTTGGAAAAACAATGCCAAAGAGCACTGAAGCTGTTCTGATGGTTGTCCAACACTTTAAGAAGACACTTTGTTGGTTTTTCCTTTGTCACCTCTCTGTAGTGTCAATGCAAAAGTAGGGCAAGGGGATATTCAACTTTTGCACGTTCATGCAAAAGATAGTTCAGTGACAAAATTCTACCATTAGGGGAAGAGATCCAAAGAACCTTTTAGCAATCTCAGAAGCTGTCAGCTATAGCATGAACCTCCTGGAATACCATGAATACTGATAAGCACCAGCATTTGTTAGTTTTCCTGGCATTTATCACACAAAACACTAAGTTAGCCAAACTAACACTAAATGAATCCAATTAAATCATGCTAGCTTTGACCTCCATGATGGGCTGTCAGCTATTAGCATCCCTGCTAATAGCTGTAATATGCCAGGATTCACAAATTGTACACAGCAGAAATCTAACGGTTTGCCTTTTTAAGTCATTATGCAAATGCACAAAAGCTTCAGCACAGATTCATGCAGACCAGAAATCAGCCACTGTTTCAATCAAATGTGGAAATAAAACTTTGGACCTTGCTGCTGGCAGAGGTGGTGCATGTAGTTTAATTTTTAATTAAATCTGTGGCTATATTCCAAAGCCATGATTACCTGAGGCACAATGTTTAAAGTGCTGTATTTTAAAAAATGAATACGAATGTATTCCAAACAAAACCAACCCAGTCTTCTATTCAAGTTTATCAAAATAAAAAAACTCAAAGAACATACAAGTTTCCATCATCAGACAGTGAAAAGCAGAGAGTTGATCGCAGGTGAGCAGTTGTACATCAGGAATGCACTTTTATTAGCCAAAGCAAAGGAGACTCCAAATCATATATGGTTATATGATCATACAAGTTTGTTCACACTGACACCAGAAACAAAAACAAGCTTTAAGATGGAAACAACCAATTCATTATCAAACATAGATACCACAAAAAGCTACCAAACTAAAAACGCTACACACTTCATCTTATCACTCTACAGTCAAAACATCTGAGCATGTAGGGGGGGAGGGGGGGGTTGTTGGGAGAGGCATTGTTCAAACACAGCAATATCAGAAAAGGTGGCAGAGGAAAAGGATTCAGCAGCCCCAGGGCATTATTTACAAAATAAAATTCAAGTCAGCAATCGATCCGCATCCACAGAGCACATCTGCAACACATAATTGTATCATTGTGCCATAGCAATAGTGTCAGCCTTTTACAATGGCAGGAAAGCTCAATGTCAGTAAAATATTTTACCATGGCAACAGGGTATGTCAACATTTCACCATAGCAAGGGAGCATAAACACTTCATTATAGCAACATAGCTTTTATCATAGTTTTACCAAAGCAACAGAGGATGTGAAGACTTTATCACAGCAACAGAGAAGCTTTTCATCTACAGCATGTTTTACCATAGCAACAGAGCTTAAACATTTTATCATAGCAACATACTGTGACTCATCTTTTTAACATAGCACCATAGCATGTTACCTCATAACATATTGCTATAGCAACAGAGTATGTCAGTTTAACCACAGCAACACAGCTTATTTAAGCGCATACACAGACAACGCTTCAGTATAACCATCACGTTACCGTAGAAATAAAACAGGTGAGTATGTTCAGTGTGTCAACTCTTTGATGTGATTTGACACAAAGCTGAAATGTCATGGAAACAGGGCATGGTAATTCTCCCAACATCATCATCAGTCTGTGCTACCAGAAGTAGTGGAAGAGCTTCAGTAAAGAGCAAAGTCTGGATCGATCTTCCTACTGGTTATACCGCAGGGGGCAGGGCTTACCTGCCATTATCAACAGACAGGAGGAGGAGCTTCTAAACTAGACAACACTTCAAAGTTGAATTTGAGTTCAGAATCTGTTATATGTTGGCTTTGCTTCACCTGGATGGTTGATCCAGGAATCTGTAACATCTTATCTAGAGTTAGTTCTGGGTGAGGCTTTAACCCAGGCTTATCTTGACCTTGCGTGCTCCAATGGGTCGATCATTGAGGTCCATGACAGCGGCAGTAGCCTCCTCATGGTTCTGGAAGGCCACCATGGCCTCGCCAGTTGGCAGGCCTTTCTCACTGAACTGCAGGCAGACTGAGCCTGGCAGCACCTGGTAGCCATAGAAGAAGTCCATGATCTCATCCACAGTTACAGTAAATGGCATATTTTGAAGCTTTACAATTGTTGGGCAAGCAGCACCACGCTGACTGTTGGGATTATTGGATCCTCCAGGGGCTGGCTGGTTACGGAGACTGTCAGCTCCTGGAGTAAACACCTGCTGTCCACCAGCAGCCCCGGCCCCTGGGCGCCCTTGGTTGTTGTTAGTCCCTCCCCCTCGGTTCTGTCCTCCTCCACCTCCTTTTCTGTTGGCATTGTCAAAGGGCACCATGCCTCTCAGCCCATCCTGGCTGAAAGGCGCTCCACCCCCAGCTCCAGGTCGAAAACCTGGTGGCTCCAAGATTGGAGCTCCAGGAAGACCAGCAACTAGTGGAGGAGCTACACCCAGATTCACCTCCCCCAGCCCTGCTGCCAGAGGAGGGAGAGGGGGAGGGCCTGCTAGCCCATTTCCTGGAGCTGAGAATGGAGTCACAAAGGGGGCACTGTTGAGGTTCCCCATGGTGTTTCTGAGGAAGTTAAACTCATCCCCACTAATCCCAGCAAATGGGTTCATCTGGTGCTGCTGGGGATTGGGTTGGATTTGCTGATGCTGGTTCAGATTTTGGGTGTGCTGGTTTAGGTTGCGTTGGCCCCTTTTGTTCTGGGGAGGTGGATTCCTCTCAATTTCCTTCATCTGCTCAAAGGTCACCAGGTGGACAAAGGCATCACGGCCATTTAGCTTTTGGCGGTGCAATCTTTCAGCTTTACGGGCATCTTCCTCGGTCCGCAGCTGGAAGATAGCTTGCCCTAAACCATTGCCTTGACTATCCGTCAGAACCTTGAGAGTGTCCTCATAAAGTCCAACACCCTCCAAGAAGGCACGGACATCCTTCTTGGAGATATTGTAAGGGATGTTGGTGATGTGGGCACAGTTTCTAGGAACTTTCATGCCATCCTGGTTCTTGCCATCACCCTGTACTGCTTCACGTTTGCGAATGGTGTCAATCTTTTCAAGCATTCCCTTCCGGCTGATTGGGTGGACCTGTATGAAGCGGGTGCCCATGTACTGCATGTGAGCGCCCAGAGCAGTCTTGTAATCCTGTTCTGTTTTGAACTCAAGGAAGCCCTCTCCTGTGGCTCGCCCATTGGGCCCATAGGCAATATAGATGCTGTCCTCAACAATGGCCAAATTCTTAAAGAAGTCTTTAACCTGTGTCTTGTCAGCCTCATAGGGAAGGCCCTTCAGGAAGACACAGAACTCCTGCCGATGGGGAGATCGTGACCTTCCTCGCTGATCTCTTCCTCCTGACCCTGCATTACTACGGCGGTGCTGCTGGTCCTGTGACTCATTGCTATTATTTGATTTACTGTTATTGTGAGACACATGGCTTGTCGTGCTGTCATTGAGGCTAGCCCACTGTCGCTCAGAGCCTGGGGTAATCTCAATGAACCTTTGGCCCATCATGCCACCACCCCTCTTCGCAGCTTCAAAGCTATCCTGGGGTGAGAAGAACTTGACCATTGCCCTACCAGTTGGCCGGCCCTGCCCATCCCTCACCATACGTACTACATCCACCCCCAGACCCCGAAAAAATTCCCTGACCTCCACCTCTGAGCAAGAGAATGGGAGATTCTGCAGGAGGATAAACAACTCATCAGGATTGGCTGCCCCCCAGCCTTCATGTGGGCCTGAAGGCCAAGAGAGGCCAGAGGGGAGAGAGGATTAAAAAGCATGGGGTTGGGGGTTCCAAGAGGGAGGCCGGAGCCCAGTCCTGCTGGAGGAGGTAGGGAGGGGTTGAAGGGAGGCAGTGAGGACATATGGGGGAGATGGGACATTGGAGGCACAGGAGGTCCTTGGGAAAGGGGTGTGACAGTAGGGACAGGTGGAATGGAGGACACTGGGGGAGGAACTGGAATGGTGGGAAGTGTGGGCATAGTGGGCATTGAAGGCATGCTGGTAAGTGGAGGGATGGGTGGGGGGCCTGCATTGAGTGATGCCAGGGCTGTGGTGATTGCAGGTGCTGAACTGTAGCTGTTGGGGAAGCTGGGCACCATGTTGGCCAAGCTGACTGCTGCCTTGTTGGTTGGTGGCTCCTGAGCTGAGCTTGCTGCCGGTACTAAGGCTTGGGTGGTACTGAATCCCTGATTTCCTTGGCTATTGCCTCTTCCCCCAACCCCTTGCTGCACTGTGGGTATGGGGGCAGCGCCTGTTTGTCGGGTGGCATTTCCTGCTGCAGGTGCAGCTGTCTCCACAGTGCCTGCACCAGCCTCAAATCTGCGTCGGCTGAGTTCAATCATGTTCTGCATTTCTGTCTTGCTGCTAAGCAACAGTGACACTTTGGAGCCCTTAATGGACCCACCTGTACGCATCATTCCCAGCCGAGCATCCTCATCAGTGGCAAAGACGATGAAGGCCTCTCCATGCTCACCCCCTACGATGTGCACTCCCCCGTCAGGGATGGTGAGGCCAGAGAAGAAGTGTCTGATGTCCATGGTGCCGGCCACTATGGGCAGGCCCTGCAGCCTGATGACTACCGCCATACTGACTGCTAAACAACAGCCCTACAACCTGGGGAGAAAGCAACACTATTGTCAGATGAAGTGCAGAAAGAAGGAGACCAGTGGTTTCCAGATGTTTTCTAAGGAATCTTAGATCTGACTTCACAGACCAATGAAACCTCAGCCAACGCTGTTTACATTTCATTTTCTTCAGAATAACCCAGAGACCATTTTTAAACTTTGTGTACCCATTTTTGGGCCGTGCATTTGGAAACCAGTGGTATTTGAGGAATGGGGGTGAAATTTTTGTCAAATTTGAAGTGGCAAAAAGGCTAACAGTCTCCAGTGATCTGCAGCTTTTACTACTTTTGATTAACCAGTCCTTGTACTTTGAAAATGATGAAATCATACTAGCCATAATTTTTTGTTAGATCCCAACAAAAGGAATCCTAAGCATTAACACAGTATCACTGTTAACTGGTTATTGAAGAAATAACAATAGGGAATTAAGGAAAGCAGTTGTGTCAGCAGAGAAATATTTACACGGCAAGTTAAAATCTTGAGAGGATACGAACAAAAACAGAAGGTTTCCAGAGGCACAGAGCACAGATGTCCAGTCAGATTTGATGCTGCAGTGATAGATTCTCTTCTCAACTCTCTGTGATGCTAAGTATTGAAAACATTGTAAAATAGTTTGGAAGTGTAAAACATACTGAAACAATTGTCATCTGTGATAGACTGTTTAACTACCTTCATCAATGTCCTTTTTATGACACAAGCATGCACCAGTGCTAGGTCACATTCTATAACTCCCATTGAGGTCTGTCTCTATTTTATTCAAAAAGTGTTTATAACTTTCTGCAGACATTTGATCTGCCTTGTGGTTCTTTCTACCTGTGTGATTCACAAACAGCTCATCTTATTACCAGGCTTACATGAGAAACGTTTTGGTGTTACTTATTTTGTTGAAAATCAATGAACAAAGCCCTTGCTGGATCATCTAAAAATTCCCTGTTTCCAAAGGTTGAATTGACAGCTTCTGCAGTATGAAACACATCAGATGACAAGTAATACAGCCAAAACTGTCTGAAGATTACTGAAGCCTGCTTGTACTTTCAAATGACTGAAATGTATTATGCAATATTAAACATTCATGAATCCCATGCAACTTGCAACAAAGCTATGTACAGTTTCAAAAACCTAACAAGACTGGTGAT